TTTAGTGATGTTTCTAAAGAAAGGGCAGCTAGCACAGTAGGTAGGAGATCGAGAATTGTTTCTAAAGGTGTGGAATCTTAGGGAGATTAAGGAAATGAACTTGCTCTGAATCCACATGCATTTAACCCCCTGCAGCCCGACAACACAGTCACGAAGAAGCTTTAAACAGATAAGCCATCATACTGGGTGTAGAAATGTTCCAGCTTCCATAATTCTTTATTAAATATTTGACAAGTTGTATCACTTCTTTACAATGACTTCACTTTGTCACATGACTGTTTTGCTATCAGGAAAACAATCTACAATTTCTCATTCGCCTGCTCGAGTAAAACGAAAAGCCCAAAGGATTCTGTTCTTTAAACAAAAGTTTTCCTGTATGTATCAAATGCAACCATATTCGAAAGCTACTCGGATTGTGAAAATGAGCATTGTCCGTAAGTTGTCTTAAAAAATGTCAAAGTAGTTTGGTATTTAATCACTGTATCAAATAGTACTTGGCTTTTTCAGGTGGTGGGTTTATCAGACAAAGTGATGAAACACTGAGAATTCCTTTGGAATGCTTGAAACTCTTTTCACCTTAAACGTCACTGTGTTTTTTTCACGTTTCATTTGATAATCGATCTTGAATTAAGAAATGACAGCATATTAACATCATCTTGGGGGGTTCTCTCAGGCTCCAAGGGTCAGAATTCTCAGGGTACAGCTTGGAGAAAACCAGAAGGAACTAAGCTCTCACTCCCTTTCAAAACCAGACTGTTCAAGAAAGGTGTAAAAATGCTATACAAATATATACATGTATATCTGGGCAGCATATGCACGTATATTTGTATATAAATACTTTACATACATAGTAGAGAAAGAACAAAGTTACGCAGAACTATTACACGAAGGAAACCATGGCAAGCTAGGTGAAATCAGTCTCGGCAGGAGCTGCACATTGGCTTCTATGGGAACACAGATGTCTGCAGACACAGGGCCACGGTCATGAGAAAGGCTGGGATGCACGAATACAAGGCTGAGAATGCAATTCACAGAGGTCTGTGGCCAATGTAGTTAGGGTCCTATTGTTACTCCTTACAGACAGACTAACCAACAGGAAGACATGCGTTTTAGACATGCATTGCCATGTATTACATCTTTAAAGATGGATAGATGTCTGATGAGAGGTTTTCTTGGAAAAGTTCACACAGAAAGCTCTCCTTTATTATAAAACATTATACAGCTCACATCCTAATGTTACAGCATTTTCTGACACACTGAAAACTCTCATGTGTGTGTATGTGTATGTGTGTGTGTGTGTGTAGACATATGCAAGGGTATATACACTGTTTATTAAGGCTTAGATAAATTAAAAAAAAAAAAAGTGGTCCAAGGTATATCACATTTTCTTCCCAGTTTTAAAATCTAAAGTACAAAGTGGAGTCTATAAGGATTTTTAAAAACACTTCTTAGACCTGAAATTGGCAGTTTTGACTTACTTATCAGGATGTACCCCAAAGCCTGGATGCGAGAGAGGTAGTGATCTCCTGGGGTCAGGAAGGGAGCAGACCAGGCAGTTACCCTGCACAGCAGCATCCCCTATTGGCAAGGCGGAAAACGACACCAGATTGCACGTCCCTCCCCTCCCTGTCAGCCTTAGGTGCAGCCTCCATCTGGTGATGAGGAAAGAGGCAAAGAAAGGACAGGTAGCACAGTGGGCAGGAGATCGAGAATTGTTTAACCCAGGCTCATTTCATAGGTTTTAAAATTTCAGAGCTGTGAGACAAGTTTTAGGAAAATACTAGTCAAGTGTCCAACAATTAGCAACTGTTAGAACAATTAGTAATTTGTTGCATATGAACTTGGCTTTTAAAGGAGCCAATTTGGATCTGGCAAGATCAAACACCAATAGCACATGCTGTCTATTTTAACAATGTGAGATGGAGAAAGTGTTTTATATGTTTTGCAAACCATTTTTCAGAAGGCGGGAGGAATAATCCGTGTCAGGTCTCTTGATAACATTGGTCACCTGACCCGTAGGGAATACTTGATGTTAGCTACCAAGGTCCCCTGGAAACAAAAATCAAAGAAGCATCTCACACTGGCAGAGGACTGGCTGAAAGTGTTTGGGGAACTGGAGAGAAGAGTGCTGAAGCAGAATACAACTTCCAAACTGATAAATGCCCTGCTGTTTCCTGTTCCCCAGGCAGCTCAGCACCTGAAGCTAATCCCCCTGGGAGGCCTTTCCTAATTGATCTCCAGGTCAACAAGAGGCAGGAAGAGAAATAGCCAGAACAGACAGATGGTTGTGACAACAGATGTTCAAAGACCTTCAACATGCAGTATGTAAATGGGGATCGTACCTCCTAACCTCATGGCAAACAGGCCCATGATAACCGTGCCTTCTTCTAGAAACTAAAACACACACACCTGGATTCAAGTAATTTCTAAGGAAACAGAGGTTAGAGAGACCCTGGACTCCGGAGTAGGGTCACTGCTGGGGACACCTAGAATGCTGACCAGAGCAGGTGGAGGACCATGGAAATGACCCATCCTGCTCCTCGCCTGACACGCTTTCTTTACCGCCTGCTGTCATTACGTCTGGAAGATGACAGAGAGTGGTCAAGATTTAGAGGAAACAAGAGATATGACTACTTTCAACGAAGAGGGAACACTGAGTACTGTTAAGAACTAGGGAACCTTATTTGGATTACAAACAAGCAAAAATGAATCTCAAACCCAGCACGATGAAGCTGTTATTGAAATCAGACACTAAGGAATAGATGAACTGAACTGTCATTCACAATCACTGCTATTGAAATATTTACAGGGGCAATAGGTGGATAATTCTCATCTGTTCCTGGTATACAGGTTACCTTAGAGTGACTTTTTTCTTTCATATTTTTAATACTTTGTCTAATTTGCATTTAACAAACACTCTGATTTTGAATATATAATTCAAAAGTGATAGAAGACCAGAATTTGCTGGATTTCACCCCTTCCAGTCGCATGATCACTCTCAGAACCCACCCAGCACGCTGCTCACCAGGCTTTGGCACACATCTGACAGAGAGAGCTGACCCTGGACAAGGAGGGGCTGTAAGAAGGGGTTTTGCCATTGAGACATTTGTTGGGGGCAGGGGGAAGGGGGTAGATTCCCTCCAAGAGATAAAAATACTGAGCTACACTGTGGTTCCCCCTCTCTCCCCATCCCGATCAGCATCTATGTTTTCTGATCACTATTAGAAATTTTAAAGCCAATATGCAAAGGGGGCCAGTCTTCAGCTTGGCAGAAACCCACCTTCTCTAGACCCTGTGGTCTTTAGCTCATTTACAACCCCGGACACACAGCTTCTCAAAAGCCACCAAAAAGAATTTCTTCCACCAGAAGGTCCTTCTTGCATAACAAACAGAGGCCCTAAGGCCTCCATTTTTGTCTTCTTTCTGTCTGGCAGAAGATCAGCTCTCTAGTGTTCCCTGGCGACCACCACAGGCTCTAGGATAACACCGAGTAAGAAGGCCAGCGGGGCTCAACTCCCACACTGCCTCGGGTGATCTCTCACAACAGAATTCTGCACCAGGAATTACACTGTGCACACATCCTCATCCTGCCCCCCGGCCAGCTCAACAGCCTGGCCACAGAGGGGCAAGTCCTCCTGCTCCCTTTTCATCTGGCACACAACAGACACAGGCGGCCCACAGCACGAAGCAGCATGCAACACACCACAGGGAACAAAGCTGGCTCAACCGAGTGTGTATTAAACTCATCTCTGAGCAGAAATCACAAAACAATCGGCAAGGGCAGGTCTGTAAGCTCAGCTCACAGCCAGATGTTGCTATACACCAGCAGCCAAATTCACTGTTGACAGGTATGGCACCGGAAAGATGTGTGCAGGGAGAGAAATAGTCATCAGATTTAATGTCCACAAAACACAAAACACAAACCAAACCAGGTCTGACCTCCATGTAGTACAGAAAGAGCCTTCAGAACTGGTGCAACTGGTGACTTAGAACAACTGGTGACTTAGCGGTTATCAGCAAACACATACAACAGGAGATTAGACAGAGATGGTTTCCAGTTTCAGATCAGGCAGTGACGAGTTTCATTCAAATAAATGTCTCTACCCCAAACAGCAAAGAGGGAAATATAGTAAAAAAAAGAATGTACAGCATCAGGAAGGGTTAAGTAATTTCTCCTATTAGAAATGACTGTCCACCCCCATCTCAAATGTGTAAGAACACAAGTACTTCTAGGGAATAATGGGGTGATTCCTTCCAGTCACCACAACGTTTTTCATGTTATGGTACAACTCTCCAAGCATGTAGCTATTATGCCAAATTTGTACAAAAAAAATCTAATATCCACTTTGTTTTCATTCTGAGTATGGAAAAAATTATCATTATGCCTAATGTTATACTTTAAATACTCTCAAAGTACTTGTCTGTAAGAACGATTTGGACATAAACCAGTCTTCCAGTTCTAGTAAAGTTGAGTGTAGGGTGTCAAAGTACTTCAAAGTAAAAATGTCACAGACATTAAACCTAGCATCCAAGTCAAATACAAAAAAAAAAAAAAATATGCTCACTTTTCCAAGTACATGAGACATCTTTAATTGTAATGAAATGAAATCGAAAAATCGGTCTAAATCATTTTCAAAAAGTAAACATGAGTTGTAATACTATACCTGTAGAGTGATTAATTCCATTCATTGTCATTATAAAGTATGCAAAATATTTATTAAGGGCTTTGCCTACAGAGGCACAACATAAATAGAATTAAGTCCTCCTGAAATGTAATTAGTGTACACATCAACCAGTTGATAATTCACGGTGGAAAATGCAGAAACGGGACCTGGGACTGGCTTTCCACGTCTGGACTTGGGCAAGTCACGGGCGAAGGCTCTGCTCCAGGAGCCATGCTGTGCAATGCTCCCTGCCATCGTCTCTGCAAAGTCCGTTAGGCAAACGCAAAAGTGCAAGCAGGACTTGCTGGACGAACCACCATTCGAGGCAGGGGGCGCTTAATCCACTCCCTCAAATCCTTGAGCGTTTTCCACAGCCATGAGAAGTTTCTCTCGTAAATCTTCGAAGGTTTCGTATGGAGGTAAGTCAAGGCGGTTAAAGCTGCAACAGCAACAAAAGTGTAGGTGAAAAGCCACCCCAGTATCCTTTAGTTATAACAGCATTTCCTAGATTTGGCTCAGGGGACATTTGGTATTGGAGCAAGAGTATGCAAAATATTTATTATATTTTGATGAATTCTGATGATCAGAATATAAATGCCAGCGAGGAGACTGTCCACACCCATTAGGCTATGTAACCTGCCGAGAAGAGAAAATAATTTTCTAATAGTCCATGAGCCCTGTCTACTCCAGCTCCATAGGAGACATGAAAGGCAAGGTAACCGACATACACTCCAAGATTTCGAATCTCTAGAAACACAGAAGGATTTGTGCATTAGGAGTTCTGGATGCACGGAGCGTCTCATTCCCGAATTCTCTTACTTCGGCATCAGGCTATGAGCCAGCACTTGGTTTCCGTCACAGGCCTTAGTTTTCATCACAGGGTGGTGATTTCTCTTCTGTAGATGAGGGTCCTGACACAGAGAGAGGTCACATCACTGTGTCCCAGCTCTCGCCCCTGGCAGCGCGGCAGACTCAAGAACAGCACCAGTCTGCCTGGGTCCCAGAACCAAAGCTAAGCTGCCCCCACCAGTTAACGTCAGGCAAGACACGTGAAGTGAAGCGCTGCATTTATAAAAAGCCCTGATTTACCCCGAGGCAAGGCTTCGTCTGGAGTGTACACATACTCCTGCTGGTAGCAAGGCACACTTGTCTAATAGACCAAGTTCAAAGTCTGGCTCAGCCACTTGCCAGATGTGTGACCTGGGCAGGCCACCACCCTCTCTGAGTCTGTCTACTCTTTGGCAAAATGGAGAAACTTCTTGCAGGATGCTGGCAGGGTCAAAACCGGTGTCCTAGCACACAGCAAGTGCCCAGGGACGGTGAGCACTGTGATCATTTGCTCACCATTCACTGAGTACCCACATGGGACATGAGGAGTGAGAGCCCTAGTCACAGGATTCATGCCTGGGGGGTGGACTGCTGACATGTACCTGTCATGAAAATGGCCACATTTAGTGACCCTGCCACAAATAATGATGGTTTACCCTGTGCAGGCAGCATTGCTAAGTACTTTTCATTTATGACTTCAGTGAATCCTAGCAATTTACCCTATAAGAAAGGTCTTGCTTCATCCCTGGTTGAGGCACAGAGGGGTTAGATAACTTACTCAAGGTCACACAGTAAGCATTAGAGCTGGGATTCAGTCCTATGTTGGCTCCAAAGTCCAGTTCTAACCATTGGTTTGTGCCATCTCATTGTATAAGAATGCTCCCTCCCGGCATTGGTATGATTCCAACTTTGAAAAGCTAATGATTACCAGCAGCAGTAAAAAACACACATCCACAGTGGTTCCTTTACCAACCCCTGAGTGTTTAATAAGACACACTAAGCTCACAGATTTTTAACAGTCCCTAAACATTATGAGACATAGGAGAGAATACCACTGCTTCTCAGAGTGGAGTTCTCAGAAAACCAGGAATCCTAAAACAGTAAGTTTAAAAGAAGTTTTTAATTTTTGGTTTACATTTTGATGATGATGTTGAGTATTATTTTACCAGTTATAAAGACAGAACTCTACACCTGCAGACCCCACTTAAAAGAGCCGACTACAAAAGGCAGCTTTGGTATTCATTTTAAGTTGGTATTTCCGCCGACGGCCTGCATTCCTTAGGGATCTGGAGATGCATTCTTGAAGGTCTGTGACCACTGTTTCCCTCTAATATGACCCACTTCTTAGAATTGCAGTGCATACACACCAAGTGCTGAGGACAATGCTGAGAACACACTAAGTGCTTAATAATTGTATGATAGTTATCATTACCTTTGAGGTCAGGGGGCCGGGGTGGTCTAACTATGGACTTCCCTATCCTCTGTGGGCTTCAGTGTCTCCGTGGGTAAGTTGGTGGGCCAAAGGGGATTGTTGTTAGAGCTGACAACAAAGAGCAGGCAGGTCTGGGATTCTTAGTCAAGTGTCATGTGTGACTCTTGACAGGGGAATGAAATGAAACCCTTTAAATATCGGACACCCAATAATTACATCTGAGGGTGTGATGGAAAGTGCCAGAAAGAACCAGACCTACCAGCCCTTGCTCTCCTGGTAAATCAGGTTTGCATTTTGAAGCTTAACTGTGTGTTTTATAGGAAACATGGAAGATATTAAACATACATATGGTTAAGTCGGATTGTATAAGGAACTGCTGCTGTGAGGCAGCCAGCAGAGCTGGTTTCCTGTGTGAGAGTCAGGTCCAGGCGAGGCTGGGAGACAGCCACACTCAGAGAACAAAGGCTGCCCTGCCAGCCAGCGTGGCTGCAGCCAGCACTCCCCTGGGCCGGCGCAGCTGTTCTGGGGGGAAGACCATCATCAGGAAGCCAGTCAAGGCACGTACCTGGGTTGCAACTTTGACTTCCTTCCTCCTTCCCCCTCCCTCACTCTCTCCTTCCCCCTCCCCTGCTCTTTTCATTCTCTCTAAATATCAATGGAAAAAAATATCCATACTCCTTGGGTGAGAATAAAAAATTAAAATACGGTTTGGTGACACGGGTAAATTTTGTCACTCACCATGTGTGAGCTCTGGGCAGTTTGTCAGGACTCCCCCATTGCTCTATTGTAAACAGCTGAGGACCATTGGAACCTAGACAAGAAGAGAAAAGAAAAGTGAATGCTCACAGTGCTCTAGGGAAGTAAGTGACTAAGAAAGAGAGGGTGAGCCGAGACACTCTCTAGCAAGAGGTTTGCACATGCTCTGTGTCACCTTCAGATGGAATTGAGCTGAACAGACACCATAACACATGGAAGTGCAGGCTGCTACGGACATTCAGCCGAGCCTTGGGAATTTAAATTTAAAATTATGTTTTGGGGAAAAAGAAAACATGACTTTAATTCGCAAAGCAGAAAAATGTGACTTTTTAAATCTATAGTAAGCCCTGCAGAATCCTATCAACATTCTTGATAGGATTGAGGTGAGGCGTCCTATCAACATTTAGTTTATAGCCATGTGGATGGTTCTGCAGAATCTAATTTTTAAAGATAGACCAAAATAAACAAACAAAAAAGACAGTCTCCTGCTCACCATAAAGTTCAGCAAATCCATTCATAGGTACTCGGGACGTCCCCGTGACAAACTGCAGCAACCGGATACGCTTCTCAGCGTCCATCAGCAGCACAGCCTGGAAACAGAGGCAGAAGGTGACACTCGGCACACCTTACTTCTATGGCAACGTAAGACTAGTGGCTGACTCTGAAAACAGTCCTTTTATTTTTAATGGCCATCACAATGCTGGCCTCTTTGTCTTAGAGAGCAAGAGATCACAGTGTCTCTTTCTTCTTCTGCAATCAGCCAAATCTATACTAATAAAAGGGTTATATGCTAATTAGACCGGGTGAGCAGGTAACCGGCCGACTTTCTTCTGGACAAACCACAGTGGTGGGGGCCAAGACAGAAGTGGTTAGGGGTGATCAGGCTGGCAGGGTAGAGCAGTGGGAGCGATTGGCTGGCAGGAAAGGGCAATTGGGGGCGATTAGGCTGGCAGGGGAGCAGTTAATTGGCGATCAGACTGGCAGTGGCGTAAGGGTGATCAGGCAGGCAGGCAGGTGAGTGGTTAGGAGCCAGCAGTCCCAGATTGTGAGAGGGTGAGAAGGATGCCAGGCTGCCAGCTGGATTGGGCCTAAACTGGCAGTTGGACATCCCCCAAGGGTTCCAGATTGGAGAGAGTGCAGGCCAGGCTAAGGCACACTCTCCCCCCACCCTTGCACGAATTTTGTGCACCAGGCCTCTAGTAAATGATATAAAAAGCCAAATCTCTGATGGCACCAATCTCAGGTTACTGTTTTGCAAGGCCTGCCAAATCTCCTGATAGCCAATGATAATATATAGGAGTTGAGAAGTGTCAACACTGGGGGAACTCAGGTTATGAGGTGGGATTTTAGACTATAGACAGATTCTTGAAAGATGACACTTAAAAAAGAAAAACAGAGCAAGGATAGACCACTGAAATAATCTGTGTATCTTACATAGTTGGGTTATTACAAGAATTGGGTTGGTAATGTTATTTGAACTGCTGTAAAAAACAAACGAACAAACAAACAAAAAATCCAAAATCAAAACTGAATGAGACTTGGACTAGTGTTTTAAGAATCCACTTTTTTCTTTTTATCTCTATTTCTGCTGGCACTTATAATATTATTTAAAAAAAAGCCATTTAGATATTAAAACAAGCGATGTGATTTCTTATCTCTGTAAAGCAAAAATCTTTTTTCTTTCTTTCTGTAATTGGGTTTTTTAAAGTCACTTGACCGTCTCTCTCTTGGACCTACTCATTCCTACTACACTTCTCTCCTAAGCTAAACAGAATGCAAACATGAGCCCTAAGATACTAAATAAAATTTCATTTGTAGCCTGAAAGATATAAAATATCAAAATGTGTTGGAAATAACAAACAAACAAACAAAAAAACTGGGAAAATGTTTTTAACCGAAAATAGTATTTTGGAGAAGCCAGCCTCCAAAGCAGGTTTTCGCCCACAGGCCATTCTATTCACACACTAGGGGGGCTCCTCCAACTCTTGAATCCAATTACCTCCTTTTCAGACTCATCTACTCACTGGGTTCCTCAAACAGAAACCACTTGAATCTGGGGATTAAGGAAGGGCATGTGCTGTGATAAGGATCAAGGACCTAGGTTCCTGGAGGAACACAAGGGCTGCTTCTGGCTCAGGTTTGCCTCTTCTCTCTGCCAGGAGCCCACATACTGACAGAGCCCCAACTTGCAGCAGCTAAACTAAAGCAAGACTGTGGGGAGGGCAGCAGAGCATCGGGCCTGACCCAGGTGGAGGAGCAGAGTGTGGACCCAGGAGGCCCTGGTCTTACCTTCCAGAACCACTGAATGACAGGGTGGTTTGGGCAGTAGCCGTTCTTGTAGATGGTATGCTGTCTCCAGTCATTCACGTCCACATCGCCAAGGCCGCACATCAGCAACTAGGAAAGAGAGAGCAGAATTGTAAACGGGGCACAACGTCAATGCCAAAGAAATCACATGCAGAGAGGTGGCCTTTCTCAGGGCCAGCATGCTGACCTGTCACAGAAACAAATGCAGGGAACATGTGATCCACATTTTACCTGCCACGGCAGACCAGACAGCATCCGTAACAAGGGGCCTAAGTCTAATGCTGTACAGACCACACTTCCTGCTGGAAATGGAAACTCCAGATTGATCATCTTTCCTCCCTCCCTCTCTAATCTGAGCACAGTGCCATAGATTTTCTTCTGTTCCATTTATATCTCATTACCCTAGCTGTTTCCCCTTCTGAGAGGTTATTTGTCTCAATATTTGACACTATCTCCCTACCCACAAAAGAATTTGTGTTATGACAGCAAGACCTTATCTCATCCCAATCAATCTACCCGGGGAGGGCAAATTACCCATCTGCTCAGTAACCCCAAAGCATGTTCTAATGGAGGGTGACCTATTCTAATGTGGTAACCAGTTCATTGACTTAGCAGCTAGCCTGAGTCTGCTTTTCTTGTCATCTAACCCTTAAGTAGGGATGGTTTCCGGTGGACAAATGAACATGACATTCCTGCAGAGGTACTGAATGAAAAGGAAAGAGAACTGAGCCAGATGCCTGAGAACAGGATGCTTAGGCCTAACTGTGCCAAAACCTTGTTGGGTAAACCAGTGAGATCACTGACTTCTCCCTGCCAAGTTGCCCCCACTCCCCATCCACCTCCCCCATCCCCAGGCAAATGAAGGACTTACACTATATAATGTCTATGACACTATCTACTTGAATTTTCCATTTTAAGATAAAAGCACACACAAAAAACACAGTCTACAAGACATGCTTCTCTGGATGTGGTTTGGACAAACAACTAATAGAGTCCCACCAACAGCTTCTAAACAGATACAGTCCTCCTCTCAACATCCAGAGAGAGAGAAAGAGAGAGACACCTTTGTCTTTATATATATATATTGATCTCTGAGAGAAAGAGTGAGGGAGAGAGAGAGATATCGATAGAAACATCAATGACGAGAATCATTGCCTGCTCCCATCAGGAATCTAGCCTGCAACCTGGGCATGTGCCCTGACCCAGTACTGAACTGTGACATCCTGGTTCATAGGTGGACACTCAACCACTGAGCCACACTGGCTGGGCTCCTTTGCTTTATAAATCGAGAGTTCTCATCTACCTCAACACAAAGAAGATGAAACAACTGAATACCAAAACTACCTGTTGTTAACTTTTTAAAAAATATATATTTTATTGATTTTGTACAGAGAGGAAGGGAGAGAGAGAGAGAGAGTTAGAAACATCGATGAGAGAGAAACATCGATCAGCTGCCTCTTGCACACCCCCCACTGGGGATGTGCCCGCAACCAAGGTACATGCCCTTGACCGGAATAGAACCCGGGACCCCTCAGTCTGTAGGCTGACGCTCTATCCACTGAGCCAAACCGGTTTCAGCACCTGTTGTTAACTTCTGACATTTCTCCTCCCTTAACACAGACTACTTCAAGTTCACTGACAGGGTGGGTGGGTGGAGGAGGTGCAGCTGGGCCATGGGCGAAGGGTGCTGCTACCCTGGCTCTACTAGAAGCAGTTTCCTCACCTGGGGCAGTGGGCCATGCACCCAACCACTCAGGGGGCCTCTGCTTGTCCCGCATGTCCCAGAACTGCCCTCTCCAGGACAAGGAATCTGCAGGTGATGATCCTGTGTTTCCTTACTCCCCGACTGGCAAACAAACAAGCCCCTTAAAAGACATGTAGCAGATTCACCTAAGCTGACGCTCCAGGACATTATGGATCAGAAAACATGAAGATATCATTTATGAAGTAATGAGAACCTTAAAAAAATCTACTTTACACAAAATGTTTACAATACAAACCTCCAGCTCATTTTCATCAAAAATTTTAATCAAATCAATAGGAAGCAGTTCTGTGAAACCCTGAAAGAAAAAAAAAATCACCATAAACACTTTTTTTTCCATAAAAGAGGCAAATTTTTCAGAAAAACAAAACAACAAAATAAACTTTCTTGATTAGCCAGGAAAAAACACATTCTTTACTAATGATTTATATATCAGCGATAGTGTCCATAGTTTCAATTCTAATAAAAACAGCCTAGGTATGATATAAAAATTTTGAAAAATAGAATTCAGAAGGTTCAGATACTTGAGTAGTTTTTGAAGCCCTATGAAAATACAGGTTACTGTAGGCAGGCAGATTCCAGAGGTTACTTATGACGTAGTCTGTGAGCCAGTGTGTCCTGAAATATGTGTCATAGAAACGGAAGAGGACACAATTAAAAATCTGGTCCTGAAGGCACTAGATGACACATACAAGGAGGCAAAGGCTCGGGACAGGAGAGGCTGGGGTGCCCAGCATCCACAGGAAGCTGTTCTATCTACCGGTAATGTCGCTGCTGAGTAGAGGCACCACGCCTTGAGCCTTGCGTGGGGCTGCGGTGTTTTTTTGTTTTGTTTTATTTATTTGGTTTTTTTTTTTTTTTTAGAGAAATTTGTTGTTCCACTTATTGTCTGGTTCTTACATGTGCCCTGACCAAAGATCTAACCCCACTGGCATTTTGGGACGATGTTCTAACCCAGTGGTTGGCAAACGCATTAGTCAGCAGAGCCAAATATCAACAGTACAACAATTAAAATTTCTTTTGAGAGCCAAGTTTTTAAAACTTCTTCTGACACCACTTCTTTAAAATAGACTCGCCCAGGCCATGGTATTTTGTGGAAGAGCCACACTCAAGGGGCCAAAGAGCCGCATGTGGCTTGCGAGCTGCAGTTTGCTGGCCATGACTCTAACCAACTGAGCTACCTGGCCTGGGGAGGGCCAGAGTTTTGAAAGTATGGAGGGGTCTTGTGGGGAGGGGCCCAGGAATGTGCCTGTGGGTTTCTTAGATAAAGTATGAAACCTGTTGTTCTCAAGTGTATCTAACTCATACTTATGCCCCTAAGCTCCTGAAGGTAAATTTTGCATCAGTTCACTGGGAATTTATAATGTATAGTTGGGGCTTGTTGCTAGGTTTGCTTTGAGTAATTAATACCCATCATCAAGATTTAAGAAAGCATTTCACTTTTGGTCAAAGAGAAGCATTTTTAAAAATGATGAATCCATCCCCTCAGGCCTCTCACAAGGGGCCTGGGGACACCACTGACATCAAATCCTTGGATCTGAGAGGTGCCTACATCCCATGTCATCCAGTGCTAGTTGGCACAAGGTGGTTGGCACTTTAAGATAAAACTCAGCCTAAGAAAATACGTTTCCACGCGCTACACAGGAGTGAAGTCTGTGAGGAGCCGTGAAGACAGCAATGAAGGGAACGGCTTCGCTACTGAGGAGTTGGATACGTTCAGCCCGAGTCCTCAGGCTTTGGAGGACCCATCAAGCAGTGCCAAAGGCAGAGGTGCATCTCCCAGCCTTCCCTTGGGCACCACCAGCAAATGCAGGCTAGTGGGTCTGGCTTCTGCTGAGGCCTACCTTCTGGTTCAAGTTTATAAAAAGTTCTCTTTAAAAACAGTTAAGGAACATCTACCTATATAAAAGCCTAAGTGACCATTAAGACAGCACCACTGGAATAACCGGTTGCTATGATGCACACTGACCACCAGGGGGCAGACAATGCAGGACCTGCCCCCTGGTGGTCAGTGTGCTCCCACAGTGGGAGCACTGCTCAGCCAGAAGCCAGGTTCATGGCTGGCGAGCACAGTGGCAGTGGTATGAGCCTCTCCTGCCTCTGTGACAGCATTAGGGAGTGAGTGGTTTAGGGAGTGAGTGGTTAGGAGCACTGAGCGCTGAGCCTGGCTTGGGCTCTTCCCTGCCCGCCTGTCACTTCATGCACTGCTACATCCCTTGGGGGATGTCAGACTGATGGTCTTGGCCAGATCTCCAAAACGGATAGTACAATATTGCCCGAGGGTTCCAGATTGTAAAAGGGTACAGTCGAGGCTGAGGGATCCCAACTGGTGCACAAGTGCATGCACTGGGCCTCTAGTTAAGAAATAAGAAGCAAAGAGGACAGCACTAAACTAACAAAATGAAGGGTGGCCATGTGGTGGCTGACACTCCTGCCCTGGGGACTGGTCCTGGGTGCAGGCTGTGCAGCCCTGACCTTTGGGCTGTGTGTCCCCTGCCTATGCCCGTCGTGATGTGTGGTGGGTGATCATTCCCAGGCGGACAATCCCAGCGGGTGCAGCTTACCTCCAAGAAGGCGTTCATTTGCTTCTGGACCCTGTTCACAAACCTCCACTGGATGACTAAGCTGAGGGAGAAAACAGAACAGTGTTTAAGCTCCTTCATCTTTACAAAGCTTACGTCTTTCTTCACAGCTTCAATCGAGGCTCATCAGACAAAGGAGAGAAACCCCTACACTGGCAAAGGAAATCGGGGCTCCTGGGCTGTGGCATGCACTGTTTATCCATTAATTCTTCGAGAATAACAAGAACACATGTGAAAAACCTAAAATCCCACTAAGGATTTCAAAGGAATAGTTGATTTCTTTTCCCCAGATTAAGGCTTAGTTTGTATAAGTTGCTTTATAAATATGACTAAAGGTCATGGGTGTGAATACATATGCATATGTGAAGAACATGCATACATATATAAATTCACATATATACATGCCCACCTGTGTATACATATGTACTTACATTTTTAAAGGGAGTATCAGCACAACATATTTTATCAAATGATATTTCACTCTAGTATACATTGTGCAAATTTTTAACAATGACATACAGTGCAAAATGATATACACTAATACTTTAATACTACAATAGAGGTTTAATAATAAGACCTCTTTATGCAACAAATTCACTGAAACCATCTGCCCCATGACAGTGTCTAGTGACAGCAGAATTTACTGCCAGGCGCATCAACTTCGGATACCTTTCAAGGCCTTTTGTTGTGAAACAGCACAAGGATCTTGCCATCACTGCTCTCACCTGTGAGAGGCACATGGCAATGGCCCTCGAGGACCAGCCCCCCTCACAACCGCTGCTCAGCCCCTCCAGGCGTTCCTGTGCTGAGCTGCGGTCAGCAGCCCAAAGGCCTTCCGGCACCAGAGGCTTGCAGGCGTCAGGGGGCAGGTGGAGATTTCTATCATCCTTTTCTCAGTGAAGATAGCTGGGACTCTGCCCAACCCTACACCCATCAAATCTGAAACCTCAAGGAATTCACTGCCAGGAATGATGCACAACACACATCACAATGTCTGAATCCCCAACTTTCCACCCTAATCACCTGGGTGAGTGTTCTAAAATCTATTCAAAGTCTGAACTTTCTGAATGAGGACAGCCTTGCCGGCCAGGGTGCTAATCTGCTTGCTGAGATGGTCCAAGTACAGGCCACCTGACATGCTGTTCAACATAATAAAAAATTGTAAGTGTGCATATACATACTCAATATATTCCCTTTTGTTTTCATTTGTAACCATTATTTCGGACCCATTGGGCTTCAGATCCACTTGATATGTCTGTAATTACAAAGACAAAACAACAGTCACCACCATGAAGTTATTCTGTGGATTATAACTGGGTAATTTATGTCCCACTATAAGAGGAAGATAAACAAAATTTATATGGAAATATTTTCCAGGAAATAGGCTTTGTGCACAAGACAATGTTTAGCAAGGTTTTTATGTTGTTAAAACACAGTTAAAGATGTTATCATTAAAGGCAAACTATTGTATGTTATTAGTGAGTTTTCATTATTCTTCAGACATTAGAAACAATGGAGAAGGAATTAATTGTGTTTACAGAAAAGCCAGGGTATGTCCCCTGAGACTACAGACCCAAATCCTAATGTATCTTATTTGTTTTGGAAAATTAAATTTTATAGTCATAAAAAAGATGTGTGGGATTTTCTTAAAGAGGCAAAACTCAGGAACTTAAAGAAAGAAGCTTAAGACACAAGGCTGCAGAGAGAGATCTACCCGATCATAAAGAGCAAAGCAGCTGAGGTCGAGCCACGGCCTCTCCTGTGTGTGGGGCCAGCTACTGCCAATGTGTACTGAGCAATGGCCAGCAGGAGGGGAAGGAGGGAGAAGCCGACTCTTTTACAAACAATATGTGTCTTCTCATAGAAACTTTGGGGAAGCATATGGGTGTAAGTTTATTCTGTCTGTTTGGCATATGATGGCTGTGCAAACACACTGAAATTTGTTCATTTGAAACATTCATAGTCAGTCCCAGAAACCAGCAGCTCCATATTCTCATCAATCAGGAAGAAAACAAATCACCAAATAATGGCAACAGCTGCAGTTTCATTACATGAAGCAACGGCTCGCACCACTTCATGGTCTGATTTTTCTAATTGTGGAATCAAAAAGCAAAACCAAACACCGAGGAAGGCCAAGGGCATGGACACTTTCATCGTGGTAGCTGCACTCCACTGAGGAAAGACCTGGTGTGTGGCACGAGGGAGACTTGGGTTAGAATAAACTGCACTGTCCAGTCACCAGCTCCACTGAGGCTGAAAGCAGTGAGAGGCTTGCAGAGGTGTCTCTCTGATGCCCACAGTGTGGGTTCAATGACTGTTTTGAGTGCCTGCCTCGTACCAGGCAGTATACAAAGTAGCATGGGCACAAAGGTAAGCGAAAGGCAGACCCGGTGCTGCTATCACCAAGACTGAGCCTGGTGGGAGTGGCATATGCTGCATCTCTCATGGTACATGCCCCAGGGAGACGTGGGAGGTACTCGGAAGCATATGGCCTGGGTCTGATCTGAAAATGGGAGGCAGTGTGTTCCCAACAGGAGGAACAGCAGGAGCAAGAGAGAAGAGAGGCTCTGAGAAGAAACCTGGGACCAGACCCAGAATGCACGAGGGACAGCTGTACCTTCCCCGGAGATGGGGCAGGCAGGGCCAAGTCATGCAGGACACCATGGGGCAAGTTAATCTCAAGGGCAACGGGCAGTCCTAACTGTTTCCGGTAGAGGGAATGACATGGCACTTCGACATTCTGAAAAGACCACTAATGGAGGCCAAAGTGCATATAAAATATCAGTTTGGAGTTTATGAGACAAGTCAGTAGCTTAGACTTGGGTGTTGGTGGAACAGTCACGGAACAAAGACAGATCTGAAAAAGATTTGGAAGCTAAAATGAACAGGCTTGGTGATGGATTGGGTATGGAAGATGCAATCAGTGTGTGGGTGCTTAATTAACTCTACATTTCTTCCCAGAATGAAGAATAGATACATTTGTTCCCTGTTAATCAGGTTAGCTCTCTAAAAAAGCAAGGCAGTAATTTAACAAGTAGGGCACCTGATCATTAGTTTACTCATCTTGTGCCCTGATTACTGCGTTATTCTACCTTGTTCAGCTCAAAAGTCTGAAGAACCTACGTATTAAACCAAGAGATCTGAGAACTGTTTTTAATAAATAATCAACATGAACTATAATAATAATCAGAATCTTTATTAGAAGCTATTTAAAAATCCAAATACCTTGTGTTTGGTTTTCACTTATTAGGTGGAAATAGTGACATTTCACTGTTAACTAAAGTTTTTCCAGATCACCTGTTCATGCCTTTGGCATTGCTAATGTCTGCTGAACTGTAAGCAAACTTTTAATGATCTCTGAAGCAGTAAGGAATCAAACTATTTCATTTCCCATATGGCAATCTTTAAAATCGGCTCCCATCATCTCATTAATTTCAAGGCCATGAGACCTGGTCTGAGAGATGAGAAATCTGTGCTTCTGTGGAAGAATGAGGATCAGAGTTGGACATCCCTGAAAAGACCTCCCAAGAAGCAGTTATCAAAGCTTATCACAAATGAATCAGAGGTCCCAGGTTTAAGACAAACACATTCTACAGAACGTTCAGGTGGTGATGAAAATTCCTAGCAGGTGACTTTATCTTTGACATTAACCTTTCTGATTAATCTAGCCTTAATGACAGTGTGGGCACAAAGCAAGAAGGGATGTGAGAGAGAGTTGAGCCTGCTCGGCCCCAGAAGATAAATAACAACAGAACCATTAAGCAGAGAAAAAAGCCCAAGTTTCCCAAAACAATACCTACTCCTGATCATGTAATCATATCATTGAGTAAACACACTATTTTTCAAAGTACTTAAATTTTAAAACCAAGACACAAACGTTTATGCTTTGCTTTAGGTTAGAAGTAGGTGCCCGCTCAGGCCCAGAGGCCTCAGAATTTCTGTCACTTTGTTGAAATTGGGCCTTTGCTTTCTGGCTTAACAATACAGTGCTGATACAATGAGATCATGACTAACAGCTAGTTCTCCTGATGGTGTTTTTTAATTGTTCAGAAAAGTTGTGTTACAATCTGTGCAAAAGCAAGACTTTCTAAAAGTTAGAGAGGAGTCCCTGGGGTTTCCCGGACGTACCTGCCCAAAGTTTTCTTCATCGATACAGAACATGAGGTCCAGTTCAGTGGGGTCATTCTCCAAGATCCATTTCAAAGAGTTGTAGTATTCACTATCCTGGAGAAGTGGCACAGAAACAAAAATTAAGCTTTTTTTTCTCTTTAAAATACAAACTTGTTTGACTTTAAATAATTAAGTCCTTCTACTGTAATTCCACGCACATTGCTCAAGAATTATATTAGTCTCTAATATGTTTTCTGCTCTACTTCAAACCTACTCTGCCCCTTTAATTTAAAATATAAACTAAAAAAGTGTTTTAGTAGCAGCAGGGTTTGTAGTTAAATCCTGTTCTCAGTGAAGTGGAGAGGAAGCAACCTGCTCTGGATGGCAGTCATCAAATTATACAACCAAACATGGAAGATGAATATACTTCCTGTTTCTGAAGAGTGAAAGTATCGAAGGACAATAGGAATGATGAGAACGTCTAACTAAGTAAACATCGATGGTGTAAATGCCACCTCTTTCTGTGCTTGTACTGCTCTCCGCAAGTCAGTGTAACGCAAGCCACAAGGGCCTGGCCTCCCCTCTCTCAGGGATTCCAGTACTGGCATTGGGGCCAGGTTTGAACCTGCAACTCCAGTCTGTGCCTTTGACTGGAAATCTAACCCTTGAAACATAGGTGTGGGGGGCCAATGCTCTAACCACTGAGCAGGCCCAAATCGCTTTTAAAAAACTTCTCAAAGCATTCATTTCCTAACTTGTTTATTACTCCCCACTTAGTTACTCACCCCCTTCACACCTAGAGCGACTGTATGTACTCTTCCCTGTATTAACTGCTTTGGCTTGTGCCCTCACCATTTCCTGAGGTCAAAAAACAGGAATAGCAGATGAGTCTCTAAATGTTCAGTATTAGCAGTTTTCGATGGAAAACAAGCGCTGCCATGAGGTCTCCAGGTGACCTTGGGATTTAAGCTGGTCACACCAGTCCCAGGTAAGCAGAGGTAACTGAGGTTTGGGTGTATCCAACTCAACAACCATGCTTCTACTTATTGGAAACCATGATTTGTTTATTAGAAAATCAGGGAGATCAATTAAACTCCTGAACAATTAAATGGTCCCTATTATTGACACTGAATGGAGACACTCATCTGTGAGACACACATGGCCCATGACACCCAGTGGGAGGATCTGCGTTCACTCACCACTGATTCCATGTCATTCAGAGTTATCTGCTTTCCCAGCATCATTTTGTAAAATGGTCTAATGAAGAAACCTAAAACAGGATGAAAACGGGATTAGTTTCAAGTCATTAGTATTACTGTGCAACAGAAATGAAATACAAGCTGAACCTGCCTTCAATTTGAATGAGAGAGCAGGACAGGACAATCAAAGACTTTTTCTAGTATCTGTGACCAGAAGACCAGGGCCTGGCGGTTTGTTTTTATGGAGGGGCGGGGAGTAAAGAGGATAGTTATACTTGTAGAAGTGGTACAGCAGAAAGGGGTCAAAAAGGCTCATGGGGGTGACAAATAAGCCTCAAGGCCTGGCAAGAATTTTCAGTGTAAACAAGACTCGTGAACAGGGAACAGAGGGCACTCTAAGCAGAGGGACAAGATCAGGACTTGTAAGTGGTCTGTCAGGGCGGAAGCACAAGGTGTCCTGAGGAGGACAGGCCAGAGAAGGGACTGAGAGTGGGCAGCTTGTGTGGGGTGTGTGGCAGTTTGGGCTGCTGCCTAAATGAGGGCATCACTGGAAGGCCAGGTGATTCCATCTGCACATTAGGACCACTCCTGGGGCAGGCATGGAGGAAAAGCAGGAAGGGACAAGAGGACATGAGGGAGACCACTAAGGAGGCTTTGCAGTCTTCCAGGGCAGAGTGAGGCAATGGCAGTGAGGACACCATCACACAGGTGTCCTGCAATCCACCTGTCCACAGGCAGGTCAGCATCACATGCCTCCTCACTGGGGTGCGGAAACCTCAGCCTCCACCCCCATCTAATCAGTCACCAACCCTCTGCAGCGTATTCCTATTCACACTGGCTCAGGGTGGCCCTAGGCTGCAGACTCAAACACCTTTGGTGTCTCGGGAGGCAGAGGATGAAGCCGATACAAGGGAGTGTGGGCTGGCTGTGGCGTGTGTGTGCTCTGCCTACAGGGGCATTCACATTTTTAAGGGCATTCTGGTCCTCAATTCTGCAATTCCTCACGTACACTGGTATCACCTTTGGCAGTAATGTTCTTGATTGCCCCACTGTTCCTGCTGCTTTCCATTACTCCCTCCACGAGCCTTAACTCGGCCAGTACTTGCTCTTCTGAAATGGACCAGGCTTCTAGCTGTTAAAATCCCACCCCCCTCGCAAGCTGGGCCTAATCTTGGTTGAAGTACTCCTGGCCCTCCAGGCAAATCTGGGTTTCCTCATCTCTTTGTTGGATCCCCTATGGCCCTTCTTATTGGACTCTGTCACTGTGAGTCTTCTGCTTTTCGCTTGTTCACAGAGTCGGGATCATATCCATTTCCCCACAGCCACTAATGATGTGTTCTCACTTGGCAGAAGGTGTACAGACTCACCTTCTAAGAAAAGGATGAAGTGAATTTGAACAGCTGAAATAATCTATGGCACAATGCCAGGGTAGCAAATTAAAATATATTCACATAACGTACATATATGGAAAGAGTGCAGTTTCTTTTCCATGAAAAAAAAGTGCTTATTTCCCCCCAAGTAAAAACATTGAAATCAGAGGATCAAAATCAGCCAGCAAATACCAGTAAAAATGTATTAAAGGATGAAGTACAGAGGGTCCATCAATTATTTACTGGAATAGCTAAGGTTCCACAGAAGCAATTAACATTACTTCCCTGGACCTCTCTCTCTATATAGTAGCTGTAATGTCAACCTCCAATCTTATTCTCTCTTCTATCCTCAACAATTTTATCCTCAAATCTTTCAAAAATATTTTTAATTCCCCTTCAATGATTTAAATAGTGTCCTTTCTCAAGGGCAATGTTTTGGAAGTGACCAAATCCATAAGAAGTCTCTATTACAAGCCTAATAGATACGCCAGGGGAGGGGTCTGACTTTTAATTTACAAAAGACCCTGAGATTATTCCATGGCTTACATGTTTTAAATAAGAATGAGATTACTTTGTGCCATTTGCGAGTCAAGGTCTTAGCTCAGCATAACATTACTGACAGTCTCTTACCATGCAAATAAAAATAATAAATATTTACAGTCTCTTCACATTCAAATAAAATAACAATTTTAAACAACAGAATAGAGATGAATCTGATCATTTTGATTAACTTTTCATTTAGCTTTTCCATCTGTCACCAAATCTACCTCTCCCTAAAAAAATTACAAGTTGTTCTTAAAAGCAGAAAACACATAATCACAGAATGTTCTGTGCTTCATACTTGTTTGTTTTGTAAAAAATTTTTTAAACTGTGTGTAGACATTATACTGTCAGTGCTCACATTAAGATGACTCCGGTGAAAAACACCTCAATTACAGGCAAAACATAAAAATAATTGAATTACACAGAATCAGTTGAGCTTTTACTTAACATCTATGATGGGAAAGATGAGTCACCTAATAAGGAGTCATAAATAACACTGTCCTATTTTGATGACTTCAAAACTTTTTAATAACTTACCATCTAAAAGTTTCCCATGAAATACTGCCAGACCAGCCACTCTTCCAATAAAAGTGAAATAGGACAAATGGTCTTCATTACAGAGGCCTGAATTGGGGTTGATCTGAAGTGTGTAGTTGTCCCTTGGGGAAGAAGAGAGATAAAAATCCCAATCACATTTTTAAAGAAGAAACACAAACTTTTGCACCTTTCTTGGCTGCCTGTCATTAGCTTTTATGGTACTCTGCTCCTGATGGGGAAAGGCGTGAGCTAGAGAATGGGACTTACCATTTAGTTAGCCTCTTTCTGTCATCAACGACTGAGGTCTCATGGAGCTGGTGCACATGCCCTTTGTAAGTTAAACCGTAAGAGAGTGTGGACATTTGTCTATTTTTTGATTTACAAAAATGTCAATTGCATATTGTTTAACCAAGTATTTGGGAAGGTGGGAATCACCACATAACAAAGGGATCGTGCACGGACTGCAATGATGGATTTACTTCAGATTCTGAGGAGGAGGGTTTGTTCCTTAGAGAGGCATTTATTTGGAGACCAACATTTCCCCCCCAGGCCCAATGGCATTGGTAACAGCATGTGCTGTCTTAACACCATAAACCACAAAAATGTTTACATGTCTGTCTCTGGTCTCAAAATCATGAGGATCATGGTTTTCCAAGTAGGATCCATAGACAGATTCTTTTTTAGGGGATCTGAGAGATGAGGATCCTGCTCCCTTCTCCCCCGCTGTCCTGCCTGCCACTTCAATTTTTGTAATCAATTTTACATAGTGAGCTTTTTCATGGGACAACAATAAGCAAGCTGGGCGATTCTTGGCTAGAACAACCGGGCAGGATCCTGAGTCTGATTTCCAACAGAGGCCCAGGAGAGAGCGGGAAATGTGTAAGAACCTGTGTCCCTCAGAGCAAGGCTGCCTTTCGGCAAGGCCAACAACTAGCCTACAGGTACTTGGGTCCACACCCTGCAGGAGGAGTGGGTGGCCTGATAAGCAGGCCATGTTGGAGTCCTGAGAAAGCAGCTGAGTCTATTTTAGATCCCATGCCTGGCAATGATGAAGTCCTAAGCCCAGGGAATCTGGTTCTTCCTTTGGAGCCTGAAAAATAGGTCCTCCTCAAAGTCATCATAACTTGCCTTTAACTAGTGTTCTTTCAGAAACTAATTTTGTCCGTGAGAAAACAATGACTATCTGAATTCTGACAGTGACAAATTCTCCTTAATTAACCTAACATTATGAATGAAAATTGCCTCTTGTTCCTTACCGTAAGTACTGAGCACACTTTCAATTTCAATTAACTGAACCCAACAGACAAGAGAAAAATCATTTTACGGTGTTCAGAGTACATTATCTCAACAGGTAGAGTCAGAACTTGTTCTAACTTATGGGGTGTGTAGGTTGGTGGTGGATGGGAGTGGGGACTGAAAGACAGCAGTGTTAATTAATTTCAAATGAGTGAGCCACTTACTCTTTCATAAGTGGTTTATTTCAAAACTGTCAAGAATAAAACTATTTCAGTGGCACACGTTCTGAATTTGCTCCATATACTTACGTTGCAGAGTATTCGAAGAGACCATAGTAGGGGTTGAACATCTCTTTGGACAGTAAGAAGAACCATTCTCTGGCCACACCCCCATAGTCAAGGCCTTTCTCTGATTCAAATTCAATCCACAGTCTAGCTTTTAGGACATCTGGTCTTTTCACAGACATGATCCTCCTATAGGACTCTTCAAAAATGTTATTTCTGTGAAGTTTCATTTCAAACCTATTTGGAATATCAGCCTACACAAAAGAAAAAAAAAAATCAAATAATCATATACTACATATGCACCTTACTTCACAGGAGAGAAATGATGGCAGCCTGCAAATAAACAAGCTGGGATGAATGGTTCCAACTGGGCGTCTCTCCCTTATGGAGGTTTCTTTGCACAGTCAGAAAGCCTAACTGAGACACACAGCGGCCACCAGCAGCTGTCAGACTGAGCAGGCCGCATGTGCTGCAGAAGAATGTCTGCTGAGCAGTCATCCTCCCCTGTTAATGAACAATTGTAGGGTGCTTATCTGCCCAGCAGCAACTGAGATATGGTTAACTGTATATACTGTTTCTGTCAAAGGAAGTGACTTCAGTCCAGGCAATCAAAATCCACAATAGTCTCCACCTGGCCAGGATGGGAGCATGCTCAACTCTAGCTGGTAGTTATGGTCCACACGCTGATTCTGCTACCGTGGGGAGTGGGCCCCTGGTTATCATGCCAAGTTGTGGGAAAGCATCCCACAGGCCATCCTATATAATAAAGAGGTAATATGCAAATTGATCCTCATGCCCTCCCAAGATGGTTGCCTACAACCAGGCTGGCAGGGGGGTTAGTGAGGGACGATCAAACAAGTGAACAAGCAGGCTGCGTGGGGTGACCAGGCTGGGGGAGGGCAGTTAGGGGTGATCAGGCCAGCAGAAGAGGGCAGTTGGGAGTGGGGGGGGGCAGTGAGGGGTAACTAGACCAGTGTGGTGGGGGGGCGACCAGACCTGTGTGTGTGGGGGGCAGTAAGGAGTGACCATGCTGGCAGGAGGGAGGGGGGGCAATTAGGAGCAACCAGGGTGGCAGGAAGGGGGCAGTTATGAGCGACCTGGACAGCAATGGGGGCAGTTAGGGGTGACCAGGCCTAAACCGGCAGTTGGACATCCCCTGAGGGGTCCCAAATTGGAGAGAGTACAGGCTGGGCTAAGGGGATCTTTCCTCCCCCCCTCTCCCCATGCACAAATTTCATGCACTGGGCCTCTAGTAGTTAATAAATATGAAAACCAAAAAAAGCACTTGGCAGGTTATAACTGCTTCCTGGAAAAATGAGGGATGGGGCAGCTTTGCCATAAAACGGATTTGCAGTTAGTGAAAGTGCCACCTGGAATGACACAGCGTAAAGTCCTTAAAGTCACCCCTTATGACTGGGAGAATGCAGGTGACTCACGGAGAAACTGGGGATTTTATGAGTTTAAATTTGAATCATTTCAAAAAGCAGTTATCAAAGAGCTAGTTGTATGAGGATGTTGGAAGGGAGGACAGAACTCCTAAGTGCTCCGGAGGCAGAGACTGTCTCTTGCATCTCTGTCCCCAGTGCCTCACCCAGAGCAAATGCCTCAAAAGTGAGGCTCTGAGGACTGGAGCAGGGAAGACAATGATGCAGCACAGGCAAACTGGGGAGACCTGAGTGAGGGTCTTTCCCCAATAAGAAGCTGCCGAGAAATGGTGACACCAAATAAGAGAAACATCCCCAACCCCCAACAAACAGTAAATGCACAAATGGAGAAGAAAACTGGTAAAACTTGTATCACAGAAATGAAATAACAAAGAAAACCTATATTGAAAAATTTGGGATTATGTGTCAGTAGAAAATACTGTGATTTAAATCATTGCCTGTGGAAAACATTATTGGGTTTCTCAGTTTTGTAAAAATTGTATGTCATTTCCCAATGAGAATTTTCATTTGAAAATTACACTTGGTCTTAACATGCCAAATATAATCAAATATTATAAATTATACTGTAGTAAGTAGTATAATTAAAATTATACTTCTGAATTTAAAGGAAAGGGCTTGAACATTTTTCTAACTAGGATCTAGGTTTTATTAAATAGGATAACCATAACAACTGCATAGGCTTCACTGAATTTTTCTTTCTTTCTTTCTTTCTTTCTTTTTTAAATATATATTTTATTGATTTTGTGCAGAGAGGAAGGGAGAGAGATAGAGAGTTAGAAACATCGATGAGAGTCATTGATCAGTTGCCTCTTGCACACCCCCTACTGGGGATATGCCCGCAACCAAGGTACGTGCCCTTGACCGGAATCGAACCCGGGACCCTTCAGTCCCCAAGCCGACGCTCTATCCATTGAGCCAAACCGGTTTCGGCGAATTTTTCAACTAGGTCCAAAATTATTCTATTTCCCATCAAACAATTTCTATCTTTTTACATATTACATAAGAAATTACCCTTCAGGTGATTTGATATATAATACTAGCCAATCTTCATTTACCATTTCTGTTAAAAAGAAAATTCAGGTGGAAGATCGAGGTGGATCAAAGTGCAGTAAAAATAGGAAGTTTATATTCTTAGTACACACAGAAAAGTAACAAGTTGCTTGCACTGAAGTAACTTTGGTAATTTACAAAGGACTAAAACAGCATTTTTGGAAGACATGTTACTCACAGGTTTCTTTAATTTCTTCCTAAAGTAGTCATATTTCTGCTTAAATTCTCTGGAGTAAGGAACCGCCTAGAAGATAAATTTGTAAATATAAATGAGGGGGAATAACACTTGCAACTTTTTGTAAACTGAGCCAACATTCAGAGAACTTCATTAATCATACACCTTAAAATTCTCATTCTCCATATTATCATTGAAATTAACATGCCTATGTACAGAGTACATGGGAAAGTTCTAGAAATGATTAAGGCAAATCAGCACTGAGTAGGGCTTTCACCCCTGAAAACAGCTATGCTGATATTCAAGAAGTCATTTATGGATACACTACATAAAATACACTTTCCAATGTGACTTCTGTCTGGATATGAGTCAGGGTGTAATCTTTATTTTTCTCCTGTCATTGAGGTAAGAGTTGGCTATGACATTTTAACATAGAACCCCAATGACCTCTACTGTCATTTTGAAAAGACTAATCCTGCTTTTAAAAATCTTTGGGAGGAAATATAATGAGCAGAAAGGCAACTGGACTGACATTCTGATCAAGGACTGTAAGACCAGGTAGAGAGCACTCAGGAAAACTCTCCCATTTGGGGGTCAGGTTTGCCTCTTACTATTTAGTAAGTAGCCTTGGGTGAGGATTATTTTTTTTATTTTTTTTACATCTTAATGCCTTATCTGTGAAGCAGAGTTATGGTATCACAGGAGTGAGCTCAATAACTTCAACTATCATTACTCAAAGATTCTGGAATCTCTTTAGGCAAATAACATTTTAATACAGTCATTTAAATATTCTCTACTTCTATGTTATAAAGTACAATAGCCAGAGTCCTGACTTCAGACTATTGAAAAGGCTTACTTTTTTAATTTTTTATGAAGCAGAGAGGACTGGCTTTTGCATATACATGGACATAACCATGGCAGCCTCAAACTCAGAAGACTCATTGCTTTTTTGGCAAATAGTGTGCATTCAGGCAAGAATATTTCTGCTGATATAATTTGGGGCTAAGTTAATAAAATATACTGATCCTTAGAAAAGTGTCTCCAGACTCTAAACCTTCTACCTTCACCTTCTTATTCTCGACCAGAAAGAGGAGAAATGAAAAACATAAGCCTCCCCTCCTTTCTACTGTTTTTAACACAATCACACAAATAACTCAGCCAAAACAAAAACATATAACCAGTCATAGCAAACACTGATCATGCCAGTGTTTTGCTTTGTAATTCAAGAGCAACAGACATCATATTGATATAAATTAAGACAATTTATACTACATATGGTCTTAGTTTTCAATCCACTCTTCATTTGCTTTTCCACTAAACACATATCATATTTACTCTGGGCAGTGTTTAGTCTGATGAAATCGTGTGTGAATTCTTATTCTAGAAAAGGTAGAAACTTTGTCACTTTCTGGACAACTACTAGTATAAGAAAAATGAGACAATGTTGTGAATTAAGCCAATAAAGACATGATGCTGTTTGCTCTACCAATACTATGTCCCATAACAAACCTTTTCCTATCCAGTTTATTTATTAATTCTTTGGTGATTCATTTGCTAATTCATTCAACAGGTATTTCTTGAGCATTTAGTCTGTGCCAGGCATTTTAGGTGCTAGGGAAATAATGGTACATCAACCAAAGAGTTCTTTCCCTATTCTCTCCCGGAGATTACAAACAATTAGAAGCAATAGGTAATAAGAAATGAGTAAGTAGTGATAAACACTATGAGAAAAAAATGATAGAGTTCCCGGGAGGCTATTTTATATGAGGTGGTCAGGAAAGGCAGTTCTGAGAAAGGGATACCTGAGCAGAAACCAGTGACCGGAGGGAACAAATTTTGACAGGGACAGTGGGTGCAAAGCCTTGAGAAGGCAAAGTGTTGGCTGATGTTCTATGATTAACTGTGATACAGGGGAAATAACCTAAAATGGATTTCCTTTCATTATCCCGTGCCAGCTTTAGAAAACCTGACTTCTAGGACAAACTCCTGCCAGCTAACTCCATGACAACCTCTCCTTGATGGCACTATTTCCCAAGTTACACAGGAGGATTTGATGAGATGAACTTTAAGGTCCTTCCATTTCTAAGAATCTACGATTCCCAGCAATTATTCTTTGTTTTGGCTCCCCCCTTGAAAACGTTGAGAAAAGCCTTGCACATTCATCCTTGTAAAGTTCAATAGTCTTAAAGGACAAATTTCCCATGGAACTTAATGCAAATTGCCCCTAGCCTGTGATGTCTGACTTATAACGTGGTAGGTGCTGAGTAGATGTGGGTGGAAGTAAGATGCTGGGATATTTCTGGCCTTACTTCTTGAGTGGAATGATGCATGAAGGTTGAAAAATCATTATCCTCCTCCATCTAGAGGTTGTTCTGATAATGGAATAAGGAGAGGAGGTTTTTATCACCTCCTCCTGAAAAGATCCCAACAATGTCATAGGACAACGATGTCCCTAGGTGCAGCTTCTGAACAGAATGTATGTGTCATGTATTTCTTGTTTTGGCCAAATTATTTATTCTCTTTTGAAAATATGATAACTTATTTTCTTACATATAATTTAACATTTAAGATACGCCTATTTAAAAATAATCACAGGCCCCTTTGCTCAGCATCACATATGCTTTCTCTTTTGAGCAAAAGGAGAACCTGACTTAGTGTGTAAGATGGTTCCACATGTTTTCATGTCATTACCGTCTAGTCGGTTCTGGAGTCTTCTGTCAAGAAAGGCTTGTGTCTGGCCTGGGGACACTGGTGAGGCACAACTGGGGCTCTAGTCCCGAGTCTGACATTTGCTGTAAGTTTTGGCAACACAATTTGCTTTCTGATTTTCTGACAAACTGGGAATACAATATCTTCCCTATCCCCCGGAGGGGATGGCTGAGAGTGTCAAAGCAGCTGATTATAAAGTTCTCATAAAAGTACAAAGTGTCACACAAGCACAAGATAATACCCATAAGAGCAGCAAGCATGGAGAGCACTTTACAAATGCCTTCAATGGTGATGTTTGCAATACAGACAGCGTATTGACGTACAGTAATGTGTGCTGGGCGGACACAGAAAAGGTCCCCTCCCCCCCTAACATATATTTTTAAAACTTGGGAAAAAGAGAAATTCTAGGTACCAGATAAACAGAAAGACTCAAAATAGAGAAATAAGTGGGCACTGGACCTAGACACTGGTGCTGGGGCTTGAATTTTAACCCTTACACGGGGGAACAGAGTTGGCCAACAGTCTGCATGACCTAGGCAGTCAGAATAGAGTTCCCTGCTAAAAACTTGCATCTGAAAAGGGGACAAGAAAACTACCCACTGGCCCAGGAAAGTTGCAAAGAAGCTTACCTTCTGTCCAGGACCATAAATGGAAGAAAAAGAAAAAGAAACAGACCTGTAATAAATTCATACTCCAAGGCTACACCAAAGTGGGTATGAAATCCACAGTTATGGTAACTGGGGGTTAATGATCCCAAGGTAAGTAGTTAACAGAAAATACAGGCCGGAACTTTTAAAAGCCCCATGTGAAAAAAAATATGAAGATGAACATACACACAAATTATAAATGGAACTAGGTAATAAACTACCATTGAGGAGAGTCTACAGATATAACATCTGAGGATAGTTTATGTTCCTGGGACCAGAGTTAATAGGATAATCTGGAAAAGTCTATAAATAAGAATGATTATTTAAGAATGATTAAAGAGTTGGAAGTATAAATAAAAATAAATAAGAGAACAGGACAGAAAAATAGCTAAAAAGACTAAGTAAATTTAAAACGAGCAAATAGAAGTTTGAGCAGTTAAATAGTCACTAAAATAATAGAGAAAGTGAACTGATAAAGAGTAGATTATATAAAGGGTTTAAGAAAGGCTTAACTGAAAGAGCTGAGCCCATTATATACAACAACAAAGAGAGGTAGAAATGTAAAAGCTAAGAGACAAGAGAGTTGTGAAAGTGAATCAATTACTCAATAGTTACTGATACAGATATTTTGAAAGAAAGTGAAAGATGCAACATGTAAAGAAATAACTGCTGAGAATTTTCCAGAATGAAGAAAAGACATGGTCCCCACATTGAAGAACCACAATGAGTTCAAAGCAGAATTAATTTTTAAAAACCCACCCTTATAATACAGTAAACTTGTAGAACATCAAAGACACAGAGAAAAATGCAAAATCACCAAATAGAGTTACCTATAAAAAAGATACCGTAATTTGATTGACAACTTCTCATCATCAGTTAAGAAGACCAGAAGATATGAAAAAAATATCTCCAAAGAAATGAAGAAAAGTAATTGTTAACCAAGATTTTATAATGAATGAGCTAATCTATCATTTCACAGAATGGTCAAATAAGTCCTCTCAGACTAAGCGAGTTGACCACTCAGGCTTCCACTGAAGTTGCTGTTAGAGCAGAGGTTCTAGAACTTGGGTGAACTCCAAAATCCCTGGGAGGGTTTGTTAAAAGATAGATTGCTGGGCCCACTCCCAAAGTTTCTGGTTTCCAGTAGGTCTGGGATGGGGCCCCTAATCTGCATTTCTAACAAGTTTCTGGATGACACTGATCTGTAGACCACACTTTGAGAATTATGTCATAAGAACAAAACTTAATGTAGAAAAAAAGGAATGTAAAAATTAGTGGTGGGTGAAGAAATCTGTTTACATCTAAGTAAAATTAAGTAAGCATTGACTATTAAAAAAAGAAAAGATAAAATACTAATGAGAATTTGGAAAGTTTAAAGACAAGGAAGTTGTTTTTTAAATCCTGGATTTTTAGAGGGAGTAAGGGAAGGAGGCAACGGGAGAGAGATGGAGAGGAAAAAAAAGAGAGAGGAGAGGGAGGGAGGGAGGAAAGGGACTGGAGAGGGAGAGGGAAGGAGGGATCTGGGGATCGAACTGCTAACTTTTGGTGTACAGGATGACATTTCAACCAACTAAGCCACCCAGCCAGGGTTAAACACAAGGTATTTTTAAAACTCCATTGAACAATGAGAAACGGGAGTGGGAAGAATGGCACTAACGTTCCCTAAAGTCCTATATTGTCCAGGAGGAGAGTAGAGAGTGATTAATTTTGATATTAAGTCAATTACATCAATTAAAAATTTTAATGTGAGCACAAAGAGAACTGAAATAGAAAATACAACTTCCAAGCAAGTATTAAAAAATGAAAGAAAACAAAGTGTACATTATCAATCTAATAGAAGGTAAGAAAAGAAAAAACATAGCAAGAAACAGAAAATTATGTCCTAGACAAATACTAACAGAGAGAAAATGAATGTAATGATTGACAAAGCCAGTCACCGTGGGAGTTTGACACAGCTATCTTGGTTAGATAAAACAACCAGAAAAACAGTAGAAATCCAAATGAATTATTTGAACACCACAGGCTTGAAAGGAAGACAGAAAACAGTTCTTTTCAAACTCAAAAAAACATTTACCAAAAAACGGTCAAGCCTCCAAAGACTTTTCACATATCTGATAATCAATATTCCATGCTCAATATACTCTGACCATATGTAATACAATTAGAAATCAATAAGAAACAGGCAAAAATTCTCCATAGTTTTAGAAACTAAAAAGCATATTCCAAATAACTTAAAAGCCAAGGAGAAAAATCAAATGGAAATGATCAAATATTTGGAATTAAATGATGACAAAAGCCAAATGTCCATACTAAGTTGATAATTACCTAAATAAACATACTCTTCTTATTGAAAGAAATAACACTAGAAATAATAAGAGAAAACCAACCTCTTTAAGGAAAACAAGGAAATAAAGATCACTCTTAGGAGCAAATGCTAATTTCCAATAGTAACAAGACTATGTGCTTGAGTGAATGTAGATGATCAATAAACAATAAAAAAGATTTGAAAAAGACTGAGAAATATCATGTTAAAAGTCTTCTGATAATTGAAAACAGCTCTGTTTACTGATTTTACCTGTTGCTATGAGGGAGAAGAGAAAATTCTATTCTAACAACTTGGTGTGATTATGAATAAATGGAAATGAAAGCCGTGGTAGAATGGCAGGCATTTGGTAAAGCTCCATGGAGGAAAAGTAATTGACTGCTTTAACTCAGGCATTACTGGGCACGTTATAAACTGTAGAAAGCAGCAGAGTAAATCGAATGAATAGATCCAACAGGTAATTAAAAGATGGTGGGGATCAAGTGCACTTTCATTCTAATATCATTTAAGTTTTCAAATGGACTTACCTTTACAATAAAAAAAAATTGAATTGAATCAGATCAAAGCCATGACATTAATATTTTAAAAATACCCATTGGCCTCTTAGCTCAGTGCTCAAAATATAATAAATGTAACTGCCTCCCGTTTTTAAAAGAACCCACATTTTCCATCTTCTGTGATTCCAGCATCTTTCCTGAAATTCCAAATCATCTCCTTGCACTCTGATAACCACGGACACGAGGTGCTAGGAACGCCGATGAGATGAACGTGGCCCCACTCTACAAACTCCACCCAGGAGCTGGATACCAAGTGTCCATTCTGCCGAGTGACCAGGGGTTCTCACTCTTCCTTACGAACAGTGTGGGGGAGCGTTTCAAGGGGCAGCACCATACCTAAGGCAGAACTGGTTCTTTTCCCACCTGGTACACACGAAGGGACTATGAGAAAGTTAGTGGGTCAGCGGAGATAAAGATTCTTATCTTATCTGCCAGCTCCAGAGGTTAGCGACAACCTCCCCCAAACCTTTACAGAGTTTCAGCGCTGGAAGAGATTCAGAATACAGCTTAGATTTGGTTAGCATGCATGAACTGCCCTTGGCCTAGAGAAATGACAAAACTCTGCAAATACAGGACTGGCTTTGCCTCATACAGAAAGGAAGAGAGGACAATTTGATTGTTTCACTTATATTTTATTATTATTTTAAAAATACTTATTATTTATTTGTTTGTAATCCTCATCTGAGGATATGTTTTACTGATTTTCAGAGGGAGGAAAAGAGAGAGAGAGAGAAATAGAAACAGAGAGACACACAGAGACATGGATGTATGAGAGAAACAGCGAGTAGATGTTTCCCGGTACATGCCCCCAGCGGGAATCGAACCCCCAATCTTTCAGTGTACAGGACGACGCTCCAACCAACTGAGCCACACCGGCCAGGGTTGATTGTTACACTTATAATCCATCCGTTTATAATGGAAAAAAGAAAATGTTTAGTTTAGCTACCATGATCACATCATTTCCTTTTCCTTTATAATGAAAGCCACATGAAAAGGCAAATGTAGTTGCACCTCACCAGGAAATTCCCATCAGGAGGAGATGGGAGTAATGTTACATTACTCAATTACACCAAGGTGAGCAGTAATATACAAGAAATGTGTGTTTTGATACAAGCAAAATATTACACTGAAGATTCAGAACTTGAGAATACTGACCGGGCCAGTAATAGCTGGATTCTGCAGTCTTGGGTCTTCCCACTGAGTTATTTTGCTATCTGCAAATTAATATTAAAAAATTCAGCATATTAGTTGAAATATATTCTATGCCAAAAATGTTTTAGAATAATTATTTCTGGTTTTCCAAAAGTTGTCTAGTCCCCCAACCAGGCCCCCAAAGATAATATCTTAGTATTTCAGGGTTAGAAGAGAATGATACTTTGTATGGCAAACCTATATAATGTTTAGTTAAAAACACTCAATCAAAAACGCACAACTAAAGTAAAACCATCTATTTACACTGTTTTTTGGCAAGCAATCTGCTGAAAGTTCAATTATAAACCCCTGTTCTTTCAAGGATTTATAACTTGATCTTGATATTCATTTAATTGAAAAAAGGCACAAAAAATCTTAGTCCGCCAAAAGCTAACACACACACACACATTACTTTTTCTCATTTCAAATACTTTTGCCTGTGCTTATGGTCTTGAAAAACTGCTTTCAATTAAGAATCCTACACTGAACAAATGAATAATCCATTTCATGTGCCACTCATATGCACACAACAATGGAAGCAGCCAATAAGTAAGGCAGTCCAAAAAAGGAGAATTACATACTGCAGAGGAAGATTCTAGAGAAAGGCTTCCCTTTTGGCCATGGTGGTGAGAAGTGGCTTTCTTTCCTCCAAAAAAGTCGATGTTAACAAAATTGTTCAAAGCCATCTAAACCACTACTCCAACGGTGCAGGTGATAATGAACAAGAGCTCCCCTGCATCACTTGGGATTTGTGACTATGCATAATTAAAAAGACTTTATGGATTACTGTGTGTGTGTGTGTGTGTGTGTGTATGTGTGTGTGTGGTGGGGACAGAGATGAATTCACATGAAAGATAATGTGGAGGATAGACTGGGGGAGAATGAGTTCTTTCTGGAGTTTTAGGAAATTTAAGTTGATTTTTTTAAAATGGGAAATTATTTGAGAAAAATACTGATTCTAATTACTTCCTGTCAACTCAAGAATAAGTAATATCAGGGATTTTTCAGAGTCTGGGGTTATAATTATTTTAATAGAAGCAGAGTAAAGTCTTCAAATAAAGTTATCAAAGCACATGATGATTCTAGATTTGTGCATGCTGGAAGACAATTTACGTGAAATGCTTCAACTGTTTTAGAGAACCTTGATGGGTTCCTTACCTTGAAAATGAAAGATTTTGGAAAGTAAAAGTTGCTACTGTGATGGAGAACAATAGAAAAGAAAACCAAATAATGGGAACATAATAGAACTGAGTAATAACTGTGTTGGACTATCACTGTAAGGATTGGGTATTGTCATCACAGCAGAAAATAAATCAATAACTACCTGTTCACGACAACTCCCAAATCTTCAGTCCAAACCTCAACTTCAAGCACCACCCTTGACATCTGCACCTGGATTCCCCATAGGTACCTTCAACTCAACTCTATAAAAATTGAACCCATAATCTTCCAACACCAAAACTGTTTATGGAATCCTGTATTCTCGATTAACAATATCACAATCCACTCACTGTTCAAATCTGGAATCTTGACACACACCTTTTTCTTACCTCACCATTTACCTCTGGGGTGACCAAACTGGGTGTTCATCTTTTCCCTGGACCATTCTCTAGGTTTCCCTGGTCTCAGTCTTATCCCTGTTCAAAACCTCTATATAGCTCTGTCAAAAGGATCTTTCCAAAGAACAAGCCTGACCACTGTCACCTCCTCTGGAAAAATCCCTCAGGAGCTCCCTCTTGCTTGCAGAAAGAACCGAGTTCCCACACCTAGCAGTCCGCCTTTAACTTGACGGGTGTGCCACCCCTGGCTTTTCTGCACACTGGCCATGGGCAACCCTGCCACACTTCTCTGCACAGCTTCATACACCTGCACACCTTCTCCATGCTGGAATCACTGTTCACTGGGTGTGGGGATATGTCTGAAGAGTGATCCATTTCATAAGGCCTTCCTGCAGACTCCCCATCCTTGTGGTGCACCCTGTGCCACTTGGCAAGTAGGTGCACTCTTTGCCTTTTCTGCTTCCACATTAATTAGGGGTTCTTTCCTCCAACACAGCACTTAAAATACTCCCTGGTACTTCTGCTAGAATCTAAGTCCCTCAAAGACAGGGGCTGTATGTCATTCCTCTCTGCAGCCTCCTCACCACCACTTAATACATTTCCTAGCCTAATATGTAACATAATAATTGTTATTATTTTTAATGACCAAATGAAGCTTATGGTGATAACAAAGTTCCTTTATGGTTGGCTAAGCTCTCAGATACACACAAGTTTCTGTGTGGCTACCATAAAGGTCAATTTTGCAGCTAAGTATTGTCAATTTTTATATGTATGGTGGCCATTTATCCAATTTTTCCCTGGAATTTTAAAATCTAAACTTGCTTTGTCTTCAAGATAGTTTTTCAAATAAAGGGACAAGAATGAAGTAGAAGAATGAGAAACTCAGTCAATTTAGGTACTATTTACTGGTTTGGTAAAGGCTATGGCTAGAATAGATTCAAATAGGATTTTACAGCATTGCTTGAATTTAATTTTCTCTTCTAGCTTTGTATATAAGATATCTGTGACCAATTCCTCAGCTGCTGGGCATATCTGGTCTTTAAGAAGAATCACACAATTCCTAAGAGAGGCAGAGATTCAGTTCAAGATCTTCCCTTAACCTTTTGCACCAGGCTCAAGACATAGAAACCATTCAATAAATGTCAACCAAATAAATCAAGGCATCTAAAGAGAAGATTAATACTGAACATTATCTCTTTCTAGATTAAATCTTTAAGGTTGAAATTATAAATCTTAAAAATGTCTAGTGTTCTCAAGAATTTATGAAGCAGAAAATAAATGGCATAATTATTTAAAAAGAGAAGGGCATTGCTGTCCCTGTCATTCAGAGTTTCAGTGATGCTGGCAGACAGGGTGACAGTAACTCCCAAGGTGGTCACTTTCACAGTAAATGGCACATATAAGGATGACCTGATTTCTATCCCAAGACAGCAAAGTGAGATGCTGAATTTGGCAGAAATCAGATGTGAGAAAACTATTTAGAAAAAAAGGTTCATTTGGAAGGTAAGGAAATTTTTCAATGTCACCACCAGGTAACTAGACCCATTTTGGAGTGTACCTATTAGGCTGATAAAGTCTCTTAGAAAGTTTTCTGCATTTTTTTGAAGCTGGATTTTTGGGAAAAGGCGGACGAATTGAACTCTGTTTCACTGCTATGTACCCCTTTATCACTTTTCATTGAGTAAACATTGACAGAGGAGGAGAAATGGCAAGAATGTTGTATTAACAGCTAATGAGATTCTCATACACAGGTAAGATCTTTTTCTTACCTTGCTTCTGATCTAACTAATCAGGTTAAGAGAACCTTTCAGAATGGTTAAACAAAGGCAAACTGTAATCTCTGGAAAGAGGAGACTCCCACAAACTGTTCTGGCAAGAGAAACGAGGGATGCTGTGCTTGGAGGGACTGATTAAGGAACTGCTCAGTCATTTAGCAAGTAACTATCCTCTCAGCCTCCCAGTACACAGGATAGAGTACAGCTGGAGCTACCAGTGCTGCTGTTTTTTAAGGCAAATTCTTTCCGTTTTCTGACCATCACCACTGACTTCCCAGAAACCAATTTCAAGTCACTGTTTTCCAAAGCATCAACTGTATACTAGTTCTATACACGCCACTAGAAAAATTGTCTATGACTTTCATTACTTCTAATGTATACTAGTATGGTTGTTTGCAATAGTGTTTCTCTTGTTTTTGGGTCCTCGCAGTACATTAAGAACATTTATGGCTGAGACCGGTTTGGCTCAGTGGATAGAGCGTCAGCCTGCGGACTGAAAGGTCCCAGGTTCGATTCCAGTCAAGGGCTTGTACTTTGGTTGCGGGCACATCCCACAGTAGGGGTGTGCAGGAAGAAGCTGATCGATGATTCTCTCTCATCGATGTTTCTAACTCTCTATCCCTCTCCCTTCCTCTCTGTTAAAAATCAATAAAATATATATTTTTAAAAAAAGAACATTTATAAAGTTTTCTCCAGGTTGACCTGATGATCACTAGCCAGGACACAGCCACAGTCTTGTGTGAAATATTCTGTATGCAACAGACCAAGGTTGCATTCCTGGATAAGACCTTGTTTTAATAAAATCATATTTTGTACCTATCTTTGAAACTAAAATTGTAAGGTATAAAAAAAACAGGGAAAAAATTTTTGTTTGTTTTTAATGGTAAAGGGATATGATCCCACTACTCTTTAGCAAAGTAGGCTAAGAAAATAAAGTATATTAAGGAAACATCCATATTTTAAAGCATTTATGGAAGCAATTTTATGCTCACTGTAAATTTCTGGAAAGTATATAAACAGTACTTTACTGGTCAAAGACAAAACTAGGCCTCTGGTCTGTGGCATATCTAATTTAAACCAAAGGGTAACCCATACCTCTAAATATACTGAGGACTTCTGATTTTGGTTTAATTCTGAATTGTTAGGCTTCTCACTTAATTAATAAGCCCACAACCCTGTGCCAGAAAGTGAAGGCTCGTCTATGATGCACTCCTTTGCCTGGTAACACCTGGAAGAGGCACTAAAGCCTAAACCGTGGTCGGCGTACTGTAGCTCAAGAGCCACATGCAGCTCTTTGGTCCCTTGAGTGTGGCTCTTCCACAAAATACCATGTCCTGGGTGAGTCTATTTTGAAGAAGTGGCATTAGAGGAAGTTTAAGTTTAAAATACTTGGCTCTCAAAAGAAATTTCAATCGTTGTACTGTTGATATTTGGCTCTGTTGACTAATGGAGTTGCCAACCACTGGCGTAAGAGATGGTGATAAACCCCACCCTCATGGCTGGATTCCCCAGCAATTGGCTCTCATCAATGTGCTTATCTAATCAATGTGATGAGTTAAGACAATGTGAGGCTGGAGAAACCTGGTTCAGACTTACTGTTTATGAATCAAATGACAACAAGGAGCAAAATACTACCAAACTGCATGTTTGATTAGAACTTCAAATCTATTTAAAGACTTCTTTTTCATACACATTTTCAGAAGTTGTAAGGGATATACGGTACAAATATGGAGAATGTGTCACTTCAAGAAAAGAAAAAAAAAACTGGCTAAAAGCAAACCTTTATTAGTTTTAGTTGAAATGAGAAATCACACATTTTTCATAGGTGCTGGAGCAAATGTCTACAGCAAATATATCACAATTTCAAGAAAAGAACTGCATATATATTAGTGTGTTGGGTGCAAGGAAACATGCTATGAATAGAAAATAAGTCAGAATGGGCACCTCGCCCTGAGACCGTGAAGGCAGTGTTTAAAACACGCGTGTGCGGCATCAAGCACTGCACACACACAGATTTTGGACTCAGTCATCACTTCTAATCTTATTTTCTATTACCAGAGTGTATTTATTAAAAGCACAAAAGTCAAAGGGTCATCAACCAAAAAATAGTTCTTAAATAAAATAAAGTTAATAGGTCACAAGATCAAATTGGGTGAAAGCTTGCTGGGCTACTTTACAGCAAACGAGGGGGGAATGCACAGTACCGTACGAGGGCACTGATTCTCTGGTACCATTCTCTCCACATAACACCTGGCTGCCTAGACAAAGAGTAAAATGACAAAGCTTTCACTCTAATATTTGAAATTCCCTTCCCCTCCCTTTACCTGCAATCCCTGTGTCCATAACAGTGCCTACTTACTATGATCAATATAAAATGTCCGGCCATCCAGGTGGATCCTTTCTTCCCACCCGGGCTAGTATCAGGGGAAAGAGAGAGAGAGAGAGAATGCAAAAATTAGCTAGCTGTTCCAAAATCAAAGGTAAAATTATGACACCTTACTCTTCCCTCCTAGGGTATAGTTTTACATTAAGAATAAACCACAAACATTTCAAGTTAACCCTCAACAACATCTAGGAACACACTTGGAGCACATGCCCACAGTCTTGGGTCATTCATCACTTGAGCAGGAAACAGGGATTGCTATTTCATATGGGAGCTTCAGCATCCCATGGAACAGTGGTCGGCAAACTGTGGCTCTTTATTCCCTTGTGGCTCTTTATTCCCTTGAATGTGGCTCTTACACGAAATACCGTGTGCGGGCACCCACTGACAATGTGATTGAAACTTCGTAGCCCATGCGTAGAAGTTGATTTTCGGCCTGGGCGGGTCTATTTTGAAGAAGTGGCTTTAGAACACTCAAGGGGCCAAAGAGCTCTATGTAGCTCGAGAGCCGCAGTTTGTTGACCACTGCCATGGAACACTTGAGTTTGGGGATGAACAGCTCAATTAATTAAACAAATATTTACTAAATACTAAAAGGAGGAGGAGGGATAATATAAAAATGTTGGAGACATGCTTTACTCATGTCATCACTGGTTGAAGAATCGAATATTTGCACTTCTCTGTTGTGAATTCTCACTGTTCAAATGTGGGAACAAAAAAGGCTTGGATCATCTTTCCATGGGAGGGCTGGTACGCTCTTATTGCCTAAACTGTGCCTATATGCTATATGAAACTAGGAACCTAACAGGTCCAGACCACACACAATCATTTCCTTTTGAAACTCACTCTCTAGACACATTCTGGGCTCTCTCATCTAAACCCAGAACTAGGCAGATTTGCAAAGGGTGGTATATTTGTATAACCTAATGAATAAAGATGAAATCATAACCTCCCTGGCTTCAAATTTTGTCAAAATATACCACACACCAGGCAACAGAAAAAACAAATAAAAAAATTCCCAGTGCCCTTCATTTAAAAATAGTGTGAGAATCTCCCCTCCCCTTCCTGCCCCTCTAAGGTTATTTATTTTTAATTGGGGGTGGGTCAAGGAGGGGATGAATGGTAAAATTTTCATTCAAAAATCCAGTTTTGTGGTAAATAGCTCAATCCCATTCAGGTTCCCAAAAAGAACAAACTGATATATAAATTAGCTTTACAAACAGCCACCAACCAGGGAGGAAAGCTTAAAATATCTGCAGACTAAATGACTTATTAAACTTTCTGTGATTACCTATGCCTTTTTCTCCCACCATTTTTAATATTTTGGTTTCTATCATGGGTAGAACTTATGGTTGCTATGTTACAAAACAAACGTGTGCTGTTTACAGTAAATTGCCATCTGTAAAAAATGCTTCCTGCATCCTAGTTACAAGGTCTACCTTCCACAGACAGGTACCAATTCAGAAACCTCTTTCATATGTACTAGCTGGTTGTATGTACGATTAGAATTCAGCCATACATCTGATTCTATTAAGAAATTATAGACCAATGGGCCAAAAGTCTGGAGAAAGAAGTCACAGGGCCTCTCCATCAACACTGGGCAGATAAATGAATAAACATATTCAGACTTGTCCATGTGTCTCCAGTATACTCACAGGCAGAGGGCCAAGGTCATTGGGGTTTAAAGGTGCCTTTGACCGCAAATGTACTGGGAATTTCAGGCGTGGATCTTCCTGCAAGAAAAATGTAAAAGGCAGAATGTGTTAAAAGAGTGACATCTGTGTGCTATTACTGGCTCCTCCCCTTCTGGAGCTGCATGTTTCAAGGCAAGCAGGAGGCATGTGCATGAGCCACACTCCTGCCTGCATGATGGAGGGAGAGTCCCATCTTTGAACAGGAAGCCTGGCTGACCATCTCTCAAAAGAGACTCCATTCTTCCTCCTTGTCCTTGGTGAAAGAAGAAGAGTAAGAACATTTAAATAAAAGGTTAACATTTTCCCAAGATCTTGAGCAGGTGAAGAGGAAGAAGGACCTAGCAGTGATGTTACTATGGAAACCAGAATAAAGGGTGCCAGAGAAGACGAGGCTCTACTCTGAAGAGGGAGTGAAAGCCTGGTTTGTAAATCTCCCTATGGATCCAGAGCTGCAAGTGAGGGTGGCTAGCCTAACACACTGTAACAGCCTCTCGGTGAGCACTGCACTTCCCTGCTTCCCTCTCCCACCCCTTCCTGAACTAGAGCAGAGAATCTGAATCTGGCCCGCCTGGCAGGTCAGGAGCTATCCCAGAGAGCGCTGGCTGGCTTCGTCATAAAATCACATCCCTATTAGACAAATGGACTGAGATTCTCCAGTTCTACAGATTAGATTTTCATGTATGTCTTAATATTTACAAGTTTGCAAAATATCTTTTTTAAGGAATGTGCTTCTTAAGATACCACAGAAAATCAACAAAAGAGAAATATATAGTCAGCCATCTTGGTTCATGACTTATAATTGACAAAGTAATCAGACATATGATCTTGCAATCACGCTCGTAGGAGGGGTACATGATCTCTCTTTCCTTAGATGGGAAAACTGAATTTTAGAAAGAATGAGACTTTGCCCAGAGGTTCTGACCCTGAGTCTGGGAGCGGTCTCTTATATAGGCTCTGTGAAAATGCAATGCATTTTCATATTTTAAACTCAAAGGGTTAGAAAACAAATGATAAAATTCAGGACAATAAAATATAAATAAAATAAGCCTAAGGTTTTTAAAAATCCTGTAATAAAACTTATTTTGTGACTATTAGTGGGTATGGGATTTCCTTTGGGGATGAAAAAATGTTCTAAAATTGACTATGGTGATAGCTCTACATCTTTGTCCAATGTTTGTCCAAAACCCATTCAATTGTATATTTTAAATGAGTGAATTGCTTGGTATGTGAATCATATCTCAATAAAGCTGTTAAAAGTTTTTTTTCCCCAGTCAACAGTTTTAAAGCACTAGAATTACTGGATTATAACAAAGTGACAGAATTTTGGAATTGGCAAAAATAAAAAAAAATCACAAAATATAAAATCAAGCTTTGCTTTCTGTTAGCTATAGCAAACTTTTAATTGAAAAAAATTAATGTTAGTGGTTTATGATGGATATTGACCCTGAACCTCACTACTATGCTTTTAAAAAGGATGAGTAAAAACATAAAATAGGCCCATATTCTGTAGATTATTGAAACACATATAGTGTGTAGATACATTAAACAGATTTAGGATTTAGAAAGTCTGAGCAGCTGATATTCTGGGAAACATTTGTGATAGGCTCATTGTGACCAAGGAGAAACTTACAGAGCACAGAACACCACAAAAGCTACCCACTCAGGGCTGTGAGCTGGCCCAGCTAATGTCACAACCATGGGGACCCTGAGGAACACACCCCCAACCACACATGTTTAGAGAGAGCCCGAGGCCGCTATGATAAGAAAGAGGACAGGGCTTCTGATGCTACATGCCAAGCTAGCCACACCTTCGAATCCCACACATAGGCTACTGAAAAGACAACCTGGTAAAAAGGTGGTAATTTAAACGGGAGGAAAAAAGAAGCTGAAATTAAAGTGCCAGTGGGGCTGGGGACAGGGGAGTACTTACTTATCTATCTAATAAAAGAGTAACATGCTAATTGACCATACCTTTATGATGCCCACCAGGCAATCAGAAGCGAGTATGCAAATTAACCCAACAAAGATGGTGGGTTAATTTGCATATCCAGGTGCTGAGCGGCTGGGCATTCCCCACCACCCCAGCTGCTCCAGGCCTCTGGACAGCATGGGAAGGTGGAAAGGTGGCTCTGTGCCTGCAGCAAGAGGAAGGAAGGCCCATGTTTGCACGAATCTTCATGCATCGGGCCTTTAGTCTATATTATAAAAACTCAGTGGCCCTAATGCCGTAATAACCAAATGACCAGTCACCAGGAGGCATGGAGGGGTTTGGGGTCCTGCACCGGTGTGCGGGGTAGTGTGTGTGGCGAGGCATTTAGGAGGGTGGGGACTACATAAAACAAGGGAATACTCCTGGTTCAAAAAAAAGACAGCTTTTTTCCTCATCCTGGAAGAGATCAACAACCAGGCCTCGGCTACAATGAGTTTTCTTAGTTTGGACCCAGTAGAAAACAAACCTGAAACTTCATAAGGCATACTCTGTCTTGCTACAAAAACAAGGTGATGTTACAAAAAGGGATTGCTGTTTTATGTAATCCCCCCCCTCTTGCGTGCCTCACCACACACACCACCCCGCACACCACCGCAGGACCCCAGGCCCCTCCACGCCTCCTGGTGACTGGTCATTTGGTCATTAGGGCCACTGGGTTTTTACAGGCTTTGAGCTGCTTCCTTGAACAGAAGGAATGAATGGACATATCGAAGGCTTCTTGTAACCTTTCCTCTGTCACTTGGTAGCCCCCGCAGGCATCCATGGCCCACCCCAGGTAGGGACAAATGAACCAATGGCTGGAAGTCTGGCCACAAGGAATCCTCACATGGCCAGGGCTTAGTGTCTCTTCTAGGTGTTACTAAGGAATGAGAGCATGGTGGACAGACCTGCGCTTACAGGCTGGGGCCTCAGACGTTATTCCAGATGGACGGCAGGCACACTGCTTTAATATGAGATTATGCTTTGTAAACAGACTTCAACAGGAACTTTCCTCCATGCATGTACACAGGGGAAATGTTGGCCTGATCTTTTCATGCTCTGGTTTGGTGCAAGAGTTAAGAACACGAAGGCTGAGGGAGTTAGGGGTCTTGTTTTCATTATTCTCCACCTGTTCTACCAGCTTTTCACCCTTTTTTACCTTAGGGCTCAAATCTAAGAAAAGCTATGCTGACCTCTCATTTGTTCTCTCTTTTAAAAAATGAAGCAAGCCCAGCCACTGAGGCTCAGTGGTTGAACGTCAACCCATGAATCAGAAGATCACGGTTTGATTCCCAGTCAAGGCACATGCCCAGGTTGTGGGCTTGACATCCAGTAGGGGGTGTGTAGAAGGTAACCAACAGATGAGTCTTATCATCGATGTTTCTAACTCTCTCTCCCTCTGCCTTCCTATCTCTGAAATCAATAAAAACAATTTTAAGAACAACAGTAAAAAAACAAAGCAAATCCGAAACCAACTCAAAACAAATTTTAAGCTGAAAATGATCTTTACAGTTCCCACTATCTCTCCATTTTTTGAACAAATCAACAGGAAATTTAGAGCAATCCTTCGACAGTGAGCATTCTGTAGAGGCCTTTGTTTAGAAGGAGAGAGAGCAGCTGGGCCAGCCTGTCTGAGTTTAGAGAAGAAGGGGAGTAACCGGGGGAATGTCCAGTTGTTACTTTAAGGATTTTCAACAATGGCAGCAGCAACAAAATGTTGTTTTAACAAATTAAATTTTTAAACCAGTAAATCAGTCAATAATAAGCATGTGGGTAGAAAGGGACAACTGGAAATTCAAACTGGATTTCATTCAGCAACGATGCAGGCAGTAAACAAAGCCGGGGCTGTTTAAAATCAAACCTGCCCAGCTGCAATTACTCTGCAGTTGTGGCGTGAAAGGCTGTGAGAAGGTTAGGGGATTTGATTACTAAGCTAGTTCAGATTACTAAAACCATAGCTTATGTTGGCTGGCCACCGTGGCTCCATACACTAATCCATCTCCTTTTATACTATTTACCCCCTATTTCGGGAGTGCCCATTCCTGGCTGAGGATTTGTAGAATCGCATACTCTTAGTGGGGCAGCCACAGGTTCTATGTCAACGAGGGAGGGAAAAAAAAAATGACTTAAAAAACAAATCTCCATAGTTGGTTTTCCCCAAAGCTGCCTATCTCTTACTCTCGTCTTGGCCACAAACCTGTAATATGATATGAGACTCAAAGGTGAGTCAAACAAAGCTACATGTTATTATATGCCTTCGAGGTAGTTATGAGTTTAATGAATGTCACCAGGATCTAAATGATAAATTCCTCTGGCAGGCTAATTCCTTTACTTTAAAATAGGAAGAACTTTTAGAGTTGTTCTCACTAAGGGGTGCTTGCAAGTGTGTGGTAACATTTTTGGTCATCACTGCGGTGGGGAAGGGAAAGAAATGGTGGATATTCAGTGACAGGAACCAAGGATATTAAGCATTCTGCAATAAAAGGCACAGTTACAGTCCTGCTGCAAATACCGAGAATGTCCTCATAGAGATATACTTACTACCATCCATCTGTAGGATTTGAGAGAGAGAGAGAGAGAGAGAGAGAGAGAGAGAGAGAGAGAGATATCTACGCCCTCTTGTCCAATCTCAAGGGACTCTATTTAACATTAGCCCACGGGCAAAGTATAAATGACAGTCTGGGACATTTTGGTTCAGTCCCCTTCATTAACACAATACTGCTGTTCTAACAATGGACACACTCGTGACTTTACTGAAAATGGGGATTTAAAGCATGTGTCCACCTCTGATCCAAGACCAGAGAGAGCTAGGGCCATTGGCAATCCCCAAACTCAGCCAGCTTTCCGGTCACATCAATTCTAAGCAAGCAGCACAGACGCCAGGAGGACTGAGTCAAACTCTGAACCCAGGCCATCAGTTGGGGACATAGGATAGGAAGGAAAACAAACCTGCAGCATCGGGAACAGTCAGAAACAAGAGAACCAATTTAAATTCAGTCATAGGTCTACAGGGTATTAGTAGAAAAATGCCCCTGACTCTTTAAAACACAATGTGCTACATTAAAGAATTCCACCACTGATTCAGCTAAAACCTGAACAGAGGAGTATAAAGATATGCACAATCACTTTTAATTAATCTCATGTTGTACAAATTCATACAACACACGGGTTCTTTCTCAGGCATGACTCCTGTGTCAAATTTGTCAAAATGTTCACAACAAAGAGCTATCAAATTTACAACCAAAATCTTCAGTATATCTCCTACCCCACAATTAAAGGTGTGAAATGCAGCACAGAAGCGTAAAACACTAAAGTAAAATACTGAGGTGGATGGTACAAACGAAAGGAACAAATCATACAAAGATGGGTGATGTTAATAAAAATGCAAAGAAATTGACAAAGAAAAATTATTTTCAAAAAGATCAGAATTCCTATTATACCATCTTGAGAGGTGAAGCAAGAGCATCAACATCCTAGCAATAAGCAGCACTGCTTTTCCCCCAAATACAGTCAATTGTCAAAACTACAGCTGTCCAGGAATGTTCTGGAGAAAAGGCATCCAACCTGGCAGCTGGCGCTGACCCCGCACCCATCCATCACCCCTCCCATCAGTCCCTGTGTGCAAGATCTTGAAGCAGGCTGAGAAGACCCTCTGGGGACAAGCTTCGGTGTCAGTGAAATTTCTCTACAAGAATCATAAGTATGGAGTGAGGAGATGAGAGAATGAATGTCAGACCTCACGATGGAAACGGAGCCAAATAAAAGCAGCGACCTTACCCACGTTGTAGTCTTTGTGTTATGGTCAATGAAGAAGGGCCGGCCGTTTGGCGCGATCCTCATTTCCCAGCCGGGTGGCAGGAAGCTCTGTGTGCCTTTGTGTTGTGGTTTGGGGGAGTTGTAAGGTGATGGCTGTGGGGACTGTGGATTGGAAAGGGTATCTTTCACAGCCCGACGTATGGGTGAATCCTTGGCACCCTAAGGAATAATAATGAGCATTAGAACTCTTACAGGTGCTAGTCCAGATGTGTCAAAATGTACTTGGGAATCACAAATGTTCCATTTGGAAAGGCACAAGAGAAGCGCCTAAGAAATTTGTTTCTGTCATTTGTTTTACTTTTAAATCAATCAAACTTTAAAGTTTTTCTACTGATTAAACATAGAACATTAATTACTTAAAATCACCATCCTTTGATAGCTATTGGATATATGCCAAAAATATTATACTCTACTGAGAATTATGGCTGGGGACTTTACAGAGGGTGGAGAAAGACGTGCCCCCGCTCTTAATAAGCTCACAGTCTGATGAAGAATGGATGGGCAATTTGCAGAGCACAAGAAGAAACCACCTGGACTTGTAAAGTTACCATGACATTTATATCACAGTTTGGAAGAGAGCTATCATTCATTCCCAATCATCAGCATTTAAGCCCAGGGCACAGAGAATACCACAGCAACCTCTAAGACATCGTCAAGTTTAGAACTTGAACATTTGTGCTCTGGCTTCTCCAACTCTGATGCGGTGATGTTAAGATATGGTATTAAGACCACACAAACAGGAGAGCAACGCAGATACACAGCAATGACTTAGGGGTGCAGATATGCTTCAGAAACATGTATGCCCATACAATGACAGACCCTACAGTCCAAAGGCAAAAAATGGTCAAAGCCACAGTTATCATTTAAAACTTAATATAAGCACTGCTATCTGAAAGAGTTATTATGCATGTCTAATGAGATAATAGGCAAGAAGGGGCGAAACAACAAGAATGGAGAAAGTTCTGAAGAGAGGGGCCCACATGTACAGCACAAGTCACTATGGCCTCAGCCCCATGAGAATGAGAATCAGGTGAGAGCCCAAGGATGTGAGCTGGGCGCAACAGAGAAGCAGGTAATGAGGCTGCACAAGAATACCCTTCACCAAGAACACAATGATCAGACAGGAAGGTAGCTGCGAAACTGAAGTCCAAGCTAAGAGAAAAGAAAGAATGAGAAGTCACAGGATAGACGTGACCCCAAGTACACTGAGTAGCCTTCTCACCTCCAGTGGGGCAGATAAAGTTACTGTTGGCGAGCTGAGGCTACGAGGCCGGCGGATCTGAGGCTCGATTAGATGGTTGTTACTGTTTGTGGCAGATCCAGGTGCACCATCTTCTGCAAGCTACATTGGAGCAAAAACAAGTTAGCTTCGTGTGAGGATCTCCCTTTGTGCGGTTGGGAGTGTGGACCCAAACAACAACACAGCCAGCAGTAATGAGAGGTCTGGCCTATTTAAAGCATGGAGGAAATGATTAACCATAATAATGGGGGAAGGGAAGGTTGGGGAAACACATTCAAGGGAAATAAAAATGAATCACTAACCTGGCATGAAAACGAGCCTCAGGAAAAAATGGGATAGGGGTTGGGAGAGACCCTACACACTGCTATAAGCTCTTACTTTGAAAATATCTTTCACATGACATTTAAAAAATATATATCTAAGAGATAGAGTGATATGGGGACCAAATTCTTCCATAGGCATATATATATATTTAAAATAATACATTTTCTTTGTGGAAAAAAAAATTTCTAAAACATGGGTTCTCAGGACAATACATAAACAATAGCAGTGTGGAGGTCATGTACATTTCAGCTTCAACTGCCTGCAATTTTCAGTTGTGTGGTGATCTGCATACCTGCATGATAGGCCGAGTCCAAGTGGTGGTTCGATTGTTATGATTGACATAGTATGTGCGTCCCTTAGCATCCTTCCTTTCTTCCCAGCCTGAAGGTAGGCCCGGCGTGGTGTGCACGTAGGCCACTGATGGCTGTTTGTGTAAGAAATCATCATTATTTAGTGCAGTTGTTTTTTGATCACTTTAACAAAGTAATATACACATTATTTTTTTTTCTAGACAAAGCAAGTTAACTCTATTTGTATCCAAACACTAGTGTCTTGAAAACAGAAGTAGATTTCCCGTAGCTTCAAATCTAGTGTGAAATGAACCTCTCTAGAGTCCAAAATCTTACAGAATGCGTTCTTAATGTCCTAAGTCTTAAATGCAATGGTGGCTGCTAATGTGCTAAGAGAAAAACAACAATCTGTTTCAGATACTAAATTTTACTGCCAAATTATGTAGAGCTTAAAGGTATTTCAAATTATCAAATGTCATTGTCTATGAGAGAAATGTCTTGATATAGCTGCCACAGGGATACTCTCCTAGCTTATTCCTAAATTCTTCATCAGTTTAGGGCTCTTACATTGTATCTTCCAGGGGGAAAAGTACACAGAGGGCCTTCTCCAGGAGTTCTCATACACACCAGTGGCATATAACCAAGAGGACCAACTAGGACACTCCAACTGCCCCAGCTTAGAAAGCTCCTGGCGAGCGGAGGCTGTATTATCCTGTCTGTCCATGCGGAGCTTGTCTCTAAAGGGTGAAGGAAGCGCAGGCAGTTTCCGGGTTTAGAAACATGTCCAGTATAGAGTGACTATATTTAGATATTCCAAATTAGATTGAAAAGGATTCCTGAGACACTTCTGCTGGTAAGCAGCAGCCTGAGAAATGCAGTCGGGTGGAGAACTCTGGAATAACAAGGATGTTTCAGTGACTCAAGGAGGCACCGAGATGGACATCTGAGGTCAGTGCTGTCTCAGGAGGAAGTCCTGGATGTATGGCTGCTGTATATCAGATCTGTCACTGGGGAAGGGGTGCTACTCTAAGGCTGGGGGGGGGGTGCGCGCTCAGATACAAGAAGCCAACCATAGCTATGCAGGCTCCAAGGAGAACACAAAAGAAGCAAGAGGCTAAACATTATTTGAGATACAAAAGGAAGCCATGTCTTTCTGGGTACCATTTCCCCTAATTAGGATTTTCTCACCCTCCAGATGTTTTACCAGCTATCATTTTCTTGATATAAGGCTGAAAATGTAAATCTCTTGGCCCAGCTTCTCCCTGTGCTCATCCCATCTTTCGTGTTTCCTACCAACAATGTGCTGTGGCAGAGAGGGTCACATCAGAGGATCCCCCAGACTACTGCATGACCCTGGGGTAGCATAATTAAGGATACTACCACATCATTGGGGATGTTAGTTAATGAGGCTCCATATTCTATTTCCTGAGCTCAACTGCACATTCCAGAGAAAAACTAACTGAGGGCTTGGAGTAGTTGCCTCAATGGTTATTTCTAAAACATGTTGAACAGGGAAGGAACAAAACTTTCTTCTAAAACTATAGCAACTACTTCCTTGACATTTTCCAAGATGAAATCTGAAATATCATGGTTAATTCCAAGACTGATCGTAGAGCATCCTGGACCTACATGTGGGGATTCCACAAGAATGGAAGAAACATCAGCAGACAGACTTGATCCTTCCAGGAGTACTGAAGTCAGATGAATTTATCTACAACCTGAAGCTCTTTCCTCCCTCCTCCTCTAGCTGTGGCAATAGCAGAAAAGAGCCTACTTTTTATCTATAAAAGACCGACTCTGCCAAACCAAGTTAGAACCCAAATTGTATCCTAAGTTAGTGGTCAATTGGACTGTGTGGCAAAATAGGTGCTATCAAGCTTTGACCTACTATTGCTCACATGATGTCCAAAAATGCTTTGGCTAAATGAAGTACTGAATGGAATTTGTTGCTTTTCTTGCTTCCTGTTATTATATTTTTGGGGAGAAGCAGTGAGATAGGCCCTGAGAAAACTGGAAACCTTTAGCTTTGCAGTTATAACATCCCTGGAAAGGTTATTTCTGAGGGGTCTGATAACTAGAATAGCTTGGCTATGTCCTAGATAATCTCAGAATTCCTACTAAGGCTGTATGACTTCCAGCACAGTATTCCAGCACGTAAATCCACAGTGAATAGGACTAATCAGATTATGGGAAATTAGTAGTGTAGTAGAGAACACTGAATTTGATTAAAATGTTCATTGTACCTTCTACTGAGAATTGGTAACTCTTAATTTAGTACCATTAAATAGAGATAGTGTCATAAAAATGTTCTCCTTATAGATTTCTTGACCATGGAGAACAGTCTGTGATGGTGATTCTACTTGTGACTCAAAATCTCTCACTCACAGCTAGGGACGGGTAGGACACAGCTTCTATGACAGACCACGAAGGGGCTAGCCCTGAGCCAAAATCAGACTTCCACTGCCGTGTGTGTGAATACACATATGCACTTCATTTCATTCTACCTTGAGAAACAGTTAATTAGTCAAGAGACATGTTAAAACCAATAGTAAGCTTCATTTAACATTTCATAGCTTTTCATCTGAATATACTACTGTGTTTCATAACGCCAAACAGCCATTGTGCTACAGCTGCATATTGGCTCCAATTATTTCATTAAAGGGAGAATCAATTATGTTTAAACTATCAAAGTTCAAACAGGCTTTTCCAGATGACAAATGTTTGGCACTATCACCAGTGCCCCAAGATTCCCTCAAACCCTGCCATTCCCATCACCTGTTTATTTTAGGGTCTATACAGCAAAGAGCAAAATGACTGTGCAGTCCCTCTTGTTCCATCTCAGAGAGGGCTCCTGCTTAGCTCCCTGGAAAGTGTACTTATTTGTGATAAATGAAAGAATTGTGGTTCTGCAGGTGAGAATCGGAATCTGTAGAAATAAAAGCACTACCAAGGAAAGACAGGTGGACCAGGATGATTTATGCAACATGGTGCAGGACCAAAATGGGTGGGGCAAGGGGCTGAATGCTCACCAAGGTGGGGAGAATATATAAATTGGTGCATTTGCATGACTGAAAATTATGTAATCATTAACATGCTCCAGAGAGATAACGGTAAGTGAAAAATATCAAGTTGCTAAGTGAAATGTACATGAGATCCCTTTTGTTTGTGTGTGTGTGTGTGTATGTGTGTGTGTGTGTGTGAGAGAGAGAGAAAGAGAGAGAGAGAGAGAGAGAGAGAGAGAGAGAGAGAGAGAGAGAGAGAGCGAGAGCGAGCGCGAGCGCATGCGAGCGTGAGCAGAGCACAATTCCAAAGTAAGCATGTACACTTCTGTGTGGGGCTAACGGGGAGAGGGTTGGGAGAGGGTGTAAGAGGGAATGAAACACGCTAGGAGATGGAACTGGAAAAGAGAAAGTAAAGGGCATTGGTGACAAGGGATAATGATGGAAAAGAAACAAATGTGATACTGTCAAACCTACTGAAACTTCGAATGTGGCCATAAAATTAGTTGGCTTATTGCAACCAAAAGATGACTAGGTACACAGAAAGCATGAGAGTAGGTAAAATATTTAGGAACTACTCCTAAGGCCCAATTCTTCAAAAAAAAAAAAATCCAAACAAACTTTTGTGTTTTTTATTCATTGATGGGGGAAGGGAGAGTACTGGCAAGAAGAGGGCTGTGGTAATGGCCACAGGAATCGCTCTGACCATGGACCCCAGTGCTCTCACAACCAGTCTATCCCACCATTTAATATCACAGTGCCACACACTCCAATATTAACAACAGCTTCCAAGACCAATAAAATGCAAACATGGATGGAAGAGAATACTCAGCACTAAATTCTACTAAAATTATTTCATGAAATGATCTCATCCGCCTTGCAGCTCTACTGCCACAGAAATTTCCAGTGCACAGTAAGCAATAGGCCACTTCATTTGAAGGTTCATACCTTCTACTGGAAGCTGAGACTGGCCTACCCAACACATGACTTTCACAATTACTGCGGCTCAATACCTTAAATGAGGCCGATTTTTTTGCTGATTGCAAATTTGACTTTCCTGTGTACAATGCTGAGCATTACATTATAACAATGTAACTAAATTGTTCATTAAAAATCATCAACATTCTTCAGAAAATCTGCAATTGTATATGTATTTACAGGTGTTCTCAAGTAATAAGCAATTATAACGAACATAACAAAGGTGAAACAATAAGGAAAATTCTTTAAATAGCCATAGCAGCTCTAAGCATAAACTACAAGCTAGCCTGTCTTCAGGGATCAAATAAAAAACAGACAATTAAAGTACATAGTCAAATCTATTATTTTAAATAACGAATAATAACAATAACAGATACTTGGCTTAGAGAAACACCATTATTTCCAAACCTTTCAAACTTATTAAATGTACTTCCTCCCCTCCCATCCTCCAAGTAGTACATAAACATCTGTTCATTCCTGTGAGGAGAGTCACTGGTTCAAGCTCATGATACAGAAAATCTAACTCAGTGTTTAACATACAGGAGATAGCTACAGTGCCCAACTGAACATCCACTTGTGCAACTGCATTCAGTTCCTGTGGCTCTCCTGATTCTCTTCCAACCAATTTCATTTACCCAACCATTCCAATAAACAGCAAAAGTTTATTGGAAGTGCAAACACTAATGGCAATATATATAATTGATTTCAGAGAGGAAGGGAGAGGGAGAGATAGAAACATCAATAATGAGAGAGGGGCCAAAAATATATTCTTAATGGTCAAATTAAATGCAATTAAAGCTTGACAGTCTTCCTGATAAAACTATATGAGACTAGCCTGACTGATGTGGATCAGTGGTTGAGTATTGACCCATGAACTAGGAGGTCAGAGTCTGATTCCTGATCAGGACACTTGATCCCCATTAGGGGGTGTACAGGAGGCAGCCAATCAGTGATTCTCTTTCATCGTTGATGTTTCTCTCTCCCTCCCTCTCCTTTCCTCTCTGAAATCAATAAAAATGTATTTTAAAAAAAGAACCATGTGCATCTCTGCAGCACGAAAAAGTTGATATTCCCCCCCCAACACACAAAAAAGATGGAGCATATTCACCATTATTCAAAATATTAAGACCAACCCACAGTTTTGCTATTAAAGTCTGATCAAGGGTATCATTACCGTTGGCTCCTCACCACCTGTGACAGTTGAAGAACGTGCTCTCCTAGTTGGGGCACTGGGCTGTTAAATGATAATTTACATCAGTGAAAGGCACTTAGGGAGACCACCCGCTGTTTACTGAATCAGGAATCACTGCTGTGGCAGCCAGTGAGGCAGATGACATGAATCAAAATCCTTGAAACCCTTAATGTCCAAGTAAAGCTGAGCGATCACTGACGACCAGAGGAACAAGGACCCCGTCAACCTCCCATCCTCAGGCTGCAGCCTCAATTTGGTCGAACAATGAATTGACAACCTCAATAACAATAATGAGGATGTCTTGTTCGGAAAAGAAATTGAACATCACGATGGTTTTGCTCCCACTGTTAAATAATGAGCAGATTCTTAAATCTGCCACACTCAAAATTCAAGAGGCCACTGGTGATCAGTGAGTTTTCAGCTTTGGAGAGTATGAGGAAGGAGCTTGCAGAAGTAATCTGTTTCCAGGAAAATAGACTCCTTGGCAAATAAAATTAACATTGATTGTGAAAAGGAGAGGAAGTGCCATTAATTCATCAAGGAAGATCACTGAATCATTAGGCGGAAGATCCCACCAGCCCATCGCAGCTGATTGTTGTGGGGGAGTCCTGAACTGAAACCATCCCAGAAAGGACGCTCTAGTCAAGCTTCTTATCAATCAGCACGTTGGATACAAGGCACAAATGAATCCCTATTGTAACCACTCAGTTGACTAGTGAACTCATTCATTCATTTTGCAAACAAAAAAGCTAGGCAAAAAAATCCTTCTGACTTGTGCAAAGGTGTACACAATAGGAAAGACACTGTGCTTTCAAAATCTGTAAGTGCATTGTCCCTCGCCTCCCCTCTCTTCCCCCCTCCCCCCAACACACATAATAAAGTATTAGTGCTAAAAACGATTGAGGATTTGGAGTCATAAAAAAGCTGGTGATGGTCAAACATCACACTGAACATGCTAAAATAAAAGCACATAGTTTTTCCCGCCCCAAAAAAGAAGAAACAAAGTCACAACATGTTTCTTTTCTTTGACGTGTACACCAAACATCTCCCTAAGCAGTTCTGGTCTGTCTTCCAATTGGAATACTCATTTTCATTTATTTCCTATATTATTAAACACTGCCACGCTTCCATACTTGCTGCTAACTATAGAAACTGTGGGAGAGTGGAAACAAGTTGTAGCTAATTCTTTAGCCAGTAGAGCTGCCTTTAGGGAGAAGGTATAGGAGTCTGTGTGGGGTTAATTAGGTCATCAGTTGTGGAAAGCCTATCTCGCTCCCACCTGGAAGAGTTCTTCCTGTTGAAAAGTATTCAATATGTTCTTAAATACAATCACCAGAGCACAGGAGAAGGACTAAATTCAGTCTTTTAAAAAATTAGTTATTAATGTATGCTTTTAGTTAAGTGAGCACATCAGAATTGGTATTAATTTGGGTGAAAAAAACTAATCAATGGAGTTTTTACCATTTTAGAGACTTTGGTGGCTAACACAACTCTTTGTATTAGAAATTCACTCTCCTTGGGCAACTTGCTAGGAAATTTGAGTGTCTCCTTTATATTGTAAATGGATTTGCACAGGAAAAACTCTTCCTCGGTGCCCCAATGATTTTTAAAAAAAGCTGAAAGAGCCAACTGAGGAAGGGAAATGCACGTAGGTTACCGGTGGGAGATGAGCCTGCTCTGCGACCGCATCGGTGACACTGCACGACCTCAGTCTTGAGGAGGGCTCCCTCTGCTGAAGGGGAGGAAAGGACACAGAGCATCAAGAAAACATTCTTAGAAAGAGTTTCATTGGCTCACAAAACATACCGCTTGGTTCTATTCACATCACTATGATAATGGAAGGCAATTAAATGAAACATCATCTTTTCAGGGTAATGAGAGTAGTCCTTTCAGCAGTCAAGTTATCTGCAGTTGTTTTCATTCTCAGTGATTTAAGCAAACGGGGGTTTTGATTAGTCCTTAGTTAGAAATAACAGCAAAAAATAAGGGAACAAGATCAAAGCATGAAAGGGAATTCAACAGGTCACCATAACACTGTAGGGTTGCTTGAAAAATGGAAATTGAAAGCTGAAAGTCTTATCATTTGTTTTGGGATGCATGCTATAGAAAGGAACACTGAGCTGAGACCGGTTTGGCTCAATGGATAGAGCGTCGGCTTGGGGACTGAAAGGTCCCGGGTTCGATTCCGGTCAAGGGCATGTACCTTGGTTGAGGGCATATCCCTGGTAGGGGGTGTGCAAGAGGCAGCTGATCGATGACTCTCTCTCATCGATGTTTCTAACTCTCTATCTCTCTCCCTTCCTCTCTGTATAAAATCAATAAAATATATTTAAAAAAAGGAACACTGAGATATGATTATTAAACATTTATTGACTACTAGGGGCCCAGCGTACATGAAATTGTGCGCGGTTAGGGTCCTAGGCTTACCCTGGCCTCCGTCACTGGCCTCTGTCGCCCTGCCATGCTGCGTAAAGCTCCCCACCCCAGGATGCTCCAGGATGCTCACAGCCCCGTGATTGCTCGGGGGAAACTCCCCCCACCCCATGACTGCTCTGTGAGGCTGCCCCCAGCCCTGCACCTTGACTGCTCTGTGAGGCTCCCCGCCCCAACCCCCTCGATTGCTCCGTGAAACTCCCCTGGCCCTGTGACTGCTCTGCTAAGCTCACTGCTGCCCTGCTAAGCAGCCCACTGCAGCTCAACAGTCTCTAGTCCCGCCCGCCACTCCCGCCTCCCCTCCCGCTCATGGCGAGTGGCTCAGGAGCCAGAGGTGTTCCATGCATTTTATGGTAACTGTTTGGTCATGATGGTACTTGGATCTTTCTATATTAGGATTATTATCATTGACAAAGAACCAGTTGGATTCTATATCCAGGGAGACTCAAACATAATTTTGTGCTACTTCTGAAGGGTCAGGTATTTACAATGTTGGCTTCTCAATGGAGTTAAAGTCATACAGATAGGGAATGAGGAGAAATAGTGAGGCTAAGCTAGTAAATCAAATGTGTAATGTATAATGTCCCATATATAATTGCTATACTTATTGCAATACTTCCTTTTATAGGTTTTAAATATATGGCTTCATTGCTTATATTGTTTCCATAGCAACAGTTTTACCAATTCAAATGTCCTATATATGAAAACTCTTTTTTATCTCTGCCGCTTTAGTACTAAATTTTCATCTCAGTGCTCTCTTTCTGAAAACCATTAACAGACTTTGAATATAAAAGCATGTTAAATAATCATTGCATCTCACAAAATTGGGCAATGTTTGTCTGTCAAAATAAAAACAACGTACTGAATAAGGAGCAATTTTGTATTTACTTGTTTTTACATATCATGCAGTCCTACCCATTTACATTTTATATGATCACAATAATGACTATATTTTTAGATACTATTTTCAGTGACATCACTCCCATCTTTACTATAGAATATCTTTAAGTTCAATTTCTCAAGAAACTGAGACTGCATTTATTCTTAGATTCAAGCTCAAGCAGGAATTTTCTATGGGCTTTTTCTGCAGTTTTGTATTATCAAGCAGAGTTCTTCATGGCTGCTGCAGCTGCTTCTGCCTCAGCCCCATCTAAAAGCTTCTAGAAAGAGTGTCCTTAATTGTTGAGAACCTCAATTCAAATGCTACTACCCTGATGTCAGTGTCCCAAATCCACAACCCTTTTTAAAAAAATAAATATTATTCATATTATTACAAAAGTTCCTCATTTTTCCCCCTTCCACCAGGTTCCCACCCCACTCTCTGCCCTTTCCCCACCCCCCATTGTCCTCATCCATAAGTGCACAGCTTACGTTCTTCCCGCACCCCCCACTCCTCTTTTGCGAGAATTGTCAGTCCACTCCCCTTTCGTACCTCTGATTCTATTATATTCACCAGTTAATATTGTTCATCAGGTTTTTTAATTCCCTTGGTTTTTAGATTCACTTGTTGATAGTTACATATTTGTTGTTCATAATTTTTATCTTTATTTTATTCCTCTTCCTAAAGAACCCCCTTCAGCAATTCATAAAATTCTGGTTTGGCGGTGATGAACTCCTTTAGCTTTTTTTTACTTGTGAAGCTCTTTATCTGGCCTTCGATTCTGAGTGATAGCTTTGCTGGGTAGAGTATGTTTGGGTGTAGGTTCTTGCTATTCATCACCTTGAATATTTTTTGCCATTCCCATCTGGCCAGCATGGTTTCTGTTGAGAAATCAGCTGACAATCATATGGGTGCTCCTTAATAGGTAACTACCTGCTTTTATCTTGCTGCTTTTAATATTCTCTCTTTGTCTTTTGCTCTTGGAATTTTAATTATGATGTTTCTTGGTGTGGTCCTCTTTGGATTCCTTTTGTTTTGGGTTCTGTGCGCTTCCTGGACATGTAAGTCTATTTCTTTCACCAGGTGGGGGAAGTTTTCTGTCACTATTTCTTTCGATATGTTTTTGGTATCTTGCTCTCTCTCATCTTCTGGGATGCCCGTAATTCTGATGTTGGTTCGCTTGAAGTTGTCCATAGGTTTCTTACACTATCTTCAACTTTCTGGATTCTTTTGTCTTCTTGCTTCTGTGGAGGAGTGTCCTCTGGCTCTTTGTGTTCCAAATCTTTGACTTGATTCTTGCAATCTTTCATTCTGTTCTTAGGACTCTGTATAATATTTTTTTATTTCAGAGAATGTATTCTTTATTTCTAGTTGATCCTTTATTATTTCTAGTTGGTCCCTTTTAATATCTTCATAAGTCTTGTTTATTTTATTGGCCTTTTCTAGGAGATTCTTGAAAAACCTTATAAGCGTGGTTTTGAACTCTATATCCAGTCGCTTTTTGTCCTCCATTTCTTTCGTTTGTGATCTGTTTCCTTTGTCTCGGCATTTTCGCTGCTTCCCTGAGTTGGTAGGGTGGGAGGATCAGCTGTATCAATGCCAGGAGACAACCTTATTGGACTAGACTTGGAAAACTGCAAGAGCCTCTGTGCTCAGCTTGGATGGGGCGGAGTTTCAGGGTGGAACCTACAGCCTTGGCTCCCGGTTAGCCCCACCCTATGAGGTTCCTGAGTCTCAGTGTTCCTCAGTGTCTTTTGGTACTCGATGCAAGCACCTCTGAAAGAAAGGTGCCCTAGAGTTTCGCCAGCTACCAGACAGTCTAGTCTTTCCCCCAACGAGCCCGCAACTGGGGTTCAGTGCAGTTGGAAGTGGGGTTAAGAGCAGTCCTGAGCTTATGTCTCCTTCCCGCTACGGCAATCCAGCAGCTCAATCAACAGTTTGTCCTCTGTGCAAAATGTGCTTGACTCCGGGGCTTTGCCTTTCGCTGCTCCCCTGAGCTTCTGCCTTACAGCCCAGATTCCCTCTCTATGTGTCTAGGTTCCCAGGGTTTCGCTCAAAACTGGGGTTCAGTGCTGTTGGAACTGGGGTTCAGCACAGTCCGAAGCTTTTATCTTCTTCCCGCTAGGGAATGCCAGCCAGGCACTCAGCTGCCACTCCTCTCCGGCTCCATCCTTTCCACGCACGCAATGTGTCTCCGTACCTTAGGCTTTTACAGCTCCTTTGATTTTCCTTCTGGTTTTCTCTTTCCTTCTAGTTGTAGAATTTCCAGTCAATCAACTTTCCTGTAGTTCTGGATAATGCCCACCTTATATTTTAGTTGTATTTTTTTGAAATTGTTGTGTGAGGCTGCAGTTAGGCGATTACCTATGCCGCCATCTTGGTTTCTTAAGGACTGGTTTTCTGGAATGTAGATGTTTTCTATCTCTTATTAGAACTTTGTCTTGGATGGGTCCCTTAAAGACCATGCCTACATCTCTGAAATGAGTATGGTTTAAGAGGACTAATTGGGAGGCGCGATATCTCCATGTACCCAATGCAAAAAGCCACTTTTGTAATGAGAGTACTATGTATGAGCCTTTGGCTGGGAGGAGAAATTCTACATGGTTAAAGCTGATAATTATGGAAGTCACGAACTCTTATTTTCTTGCATTCTTTTCAAATCAAGAAAGATTCTCACCTGAGTGGCCAGTTTTGGTATAGTCTTGCTTCTCCTAGGTTAGGAGAAACTTTAGAAAAATCTCAGAATTATGTGGGAGCTAGAAAACCCTTGGTCATTATTTGCATACAAGATTCTCTTAAAGCAACAAAAATATGATAAAATATTTGCTTAACTTCTCATTCAAACAGGACAATTACTCACAATTAAAGAACTAAACTGCTCCCCATTGGAGTCCGGAGTGATCTGAAGCCTTCTGCTCAGTTCTTCGGATAGCTCTTGAGGGCTGGTCCGAGAAGATGGGGAGGAGGGTGGTGGGGGCAGCGCCAGACTGAGGGAGGAGTCTCCAGCAATAGCTGCTTCTTCTGAAATGGTCTCCCAAGGCTACCAATGGATGAGATGAAGAGGTAAAGGCTAGGAAGAAGGAATCCTTTTTTCCCTCCCTAACTATAACCATTATCATAACTATAATTAACATTTACTGAGCACGTAGGAGGCAAACAATCTTCTCAAGAACCATGGAAAAGATATGACTACAACCTTAATTAACATGAGGAAACTGAGCACAGAGGGGGACTTGCCCAAGGTAAGAGACCTACGAAGTGGCAGGACCAAGTCTTGAACCAATGAAGCCAGTTTCCACAGGCTGTGCTCTTAACCACTTTATAATACCACCTTTTTGGGCTGTGACTGAACTCTAGCTTTCGTTACTAAATGCATGGGTTAAAAAATAATCTCAGGAATTCATTGATAATTTCCATGGAGTTCCTTTCACTCTAACTGCTGAGGATTCACAATGAAAACAGCATAGATGCAATAATCTGTAATTAAACAACAGTGTAAAGTACCTTTCAGTAAATTTTTTAGAGAATCAATTTGGCTTTTCAAATTTTGATCACTGGATCATTTTATAAATGATCTTCCTGATGTAATACCTTTAATGAATTTCTAGTAAGTAAACAGAGCTGTTAAGGCAGCATAAAAATTATGATAATTGTTCATTTGTTCTTCAATTCATAACTCCCTCCATCCCAGTAGTTTACCATAAATATTTCAGGGTAAAGTGTAAACAGTTCTATTCATCCAAATTAGTATTTTCTTGGTAATACATGTCTTTTGTGATGTCAAAAGTATTCAGTAATAGCTTGTACCCAAGCAAGTTACAGGGCTCATTCAATTGCAAATATGGAGTAAAAAAATCTTAAGATCCCCCAAATGTCATTTTTTTGGTAATAATATAGATACATGCATTCACCAAACATGGCTTTTATGAGCACTTTCTAAATTAATATCTCTATAGTTGTCAATTAGACATGAGACCATTAGATAGCTTTTATGGAGAAAGGAAATCACAGCACAGAATCAAGTTGGGGACACGGAGAGGAGGGGGTGCAGAGTCTGGGGCAGCAGGGCGCAGCACCTCAGGGCCCTCTCCACCCTCAGAGGACTCGGGCTCCAGGTCCTCGCTGATGTGCCTGCGGGAGCGGAAGCGCCGGTGGGCAGCCTCCTGGTTGATCTGCCGGATGTTGCTCTCCGCCTCGGAGGATATATCCCTGAGGACAGGGGAGTGGAGAGAGAGGACCCAATATTAGTAAGTGGCCCATCAACAAGAGTCCAACATTCACCAAGGGCCTGGCACCTACTAAAATGACAGTGCACTTATGTTCAACAAGCTGACAATGAGAATTCTTCCACCATATTTTGGGGGTTTTTAGAGGACAAGTTTAAATGTCAAAATGTTTCTCAGAGAAAACTCACACAGACTCCTTTGATAAGACATCATATTCAGTTGGCAAAAATGATGCCACAAATTAATATTTCAAAATATTTGAGAACATTATTTTAGACTAATTGAAATATAGTATTAATCAGGGGTCCTTGTTACAGATGTTTCCTAAATCGTAAGTTTTAAACATTCAAACAAACAAATACTGCATCCCAATAAAGAGCCTGTGGGGCTCCTGAACGGTAAAGAGTTTGCAACTAACAGCCTTGTATGCAAATAAATAGGTGACTCTGGAAATGGTTTATGTCCTTCCAATAGGCATCTCTACACAATTAATTTTACTGGTAAAGGAGGTAGGATGAAGGTTAGCTTTCATTTAATCCATATTAAAATGATAATTTATTATGAAAATCTGAATTAATGAAGCTTTATTGTATCTGCACATCCAATATACAAACTTTTGAACTCTAACAGAAATATATCCTGCATATTTTATAGTAATACTTGAGGCCCAGTGCACAATATTTGTGCACAGTGGGGGTGGGGATGGGAATGGGGGTGTTGGTGTTTCCCTCAGGACTGGACTGTCTGGGCCCCCTCACAGTCCGGGACCCCTCGCTCCTTACAGTCTGCCTGCTCGCTGCTCCTTAACGCTGCCATGGAGGCAAGAGAGGCTCCTGCCACCACCTGCTGTGCTCACTAGCTGTGAGCACAGCTTCTGACTGAGCAGCACTATGGGATGCACTGAACACCAGGGGGCAGCTCCTGTGTTGAGTAGCTGTCCCCTGGTGGTAAGTGTGCATCATAGTGACTGGTGGTACCGCTGTAACGGTCGCTTAGGTTATAAAGTATAACTAAACAAAAAACAGGACACTAAATGGAGATACCTTCAAAAAAGACAATTATGACCATAGAGAAAATAACTACAATCAAGGAACACCCAAGTATTCTAATAAAATTTCTGAAACCACCAAAACAGAATGATAAAAATGATACGATGGGATATATTAGGAAATGTACTATTGCTACTTGTGGTTTCATGTTGCTATAGTCATTTTTACAGGGCATTATTTTTCGAGCAAACTATGCTTATCAAAAGTAATTATAAGGTATTACAAAGCTCACAAAAAGTAGATCAAAATGATAAAAATACCTTAATAAAATGTGTAAAATACTTCAGTAGTGTCTAAGAAGGCAAAGGAAACTTTATATTGTCCTCTTTCACTTTTTATTGAGGATGAAAGCAATATCACTTTATAATGACTGGCTTTCCTTAAAAATATTTTGCAAATAAGAGTTCCATTAAAATTTGAAATCTTCACTTGAAATATCACTTATCACTTATTCAATCAACAGAGAGACTAATGTGTGCATGCTACACGTGCCAGGCCCTAGCACATACTTGAATTGTTACAGGGACTTCTGAGAGGTTGAAAAGAATAAGGTTTTTATTATTCTCTCTGGATTTTGTATCTTTCAGAAGTATACAAAAGTCCATTATTTTGGAAGAACTGGTGTGCTTTTTTAAAAGGGCATTTAAAATCAATTATGCTAATCTTCCGTACCCAACATGCTCAAATAATTAGTAATCTGTGTGAACCAGAAGCAACTAAATAGCATAAAGAAACCAGATACCTCTGATTTTGAAATTCCAAACATGGCTTTTATGGTCTTTAGTGCTAACATGAAAATGTTCACACCATGGTATTTAATTAACTGAATGAGAGGGTTTGGAACAGAAGTTATTGAAACTGACTGGAAATATAGTCCCTAATGGCCAGATAAACATGTGAAATATTCCTAATCTGACAAACTAAAACAGAAAAATGGTTTTACCTTGGGCCAGAAAAAGTCTAAAGAATGACAATTCCAATTTTTATCAGTCATTAGTTTCACATATGTATTCTTCATTTAACTTTCATGGAAAATGTACAAATGAATAAAGACAAGAAAAACCAAATTTATCAAGTTCAGTGCCAATTAAGATCAGTGTGCCAGATCATTTACATTCACATACATTAGTGACTATATGACTGTACTACTGCTAAGACAGGGAAAGATATACAAAGTAGTTTAGAGAGCTAAATTAAGTGCAAATTAAGTGATTTTAAAAGTTCATCTTCATTTATCATCTTCATGTAATTCCCCACCTTTAAAAAAAAAAAAACTGTTGTTTTTATAGTAAAAAGCCTAGCATTTATGTTAAAATAGGAAAAGGATAAATTTAAAATGAGGGGTGTTTTAAAAGCCACCATCAAACTTGAAGGAGTTGGGGTGTCTTCTCTGGTCACCTTCTGTTCTAAAGTTTGCATCCAGACCTAAACCTGTCCTAGACAGTTCAGGAAACCATGTGCCTAGATCATTTTCAGAAGTGACTCATCTGTAGTCAGTCATTCAGTAGGCACCGGCTGAGCTTTGACTTTGTGCCAGGTGCAAAGGATAGATCTGCTCCAACAGGGAATTAGAATATTCTGTGCTCCGAGTCAGGACTGGGGAAGCCCAAGGTTTTTTGCAGGGACACCTGCCTAAAGGGGTCCGGCTCCCCAGAGGAAGGTGCATTAGGGTGGCGATAGCTGGGGAAGGGCATGTTCTAGGTTTCCCCCCCTCTTTTTGGAGGGCTGGGGAGGGAAGTAGCACAGCCATGGAGCCAAAAAGAAGGGAAAGTAATGAGGAAGCGGCTTGCATGACTGGGCCACTTGGGTGCACTGCATATTTATGACTATGGTGGCGAGTCTGGAGGAGAGAGAGTGGAGACAGACCTTGTAAAAAGTCTGAGGGCACCGAGATTTTTTTCAGGGTGAACAATTTTTAGAGTGTTTGAAGTTTGGGGCACAAGGTAAGAAATGAGAATTACCAGGAGTGTCACAATTCTCGATTAGCACATGGTAATCGTTAATCATTAGGGGATATTCTCAGAGACAGCGATTAATACAGACCTCTCAATATCAATTTTCCTCCAACAAGTACTGGAGTATTCTGTGAAAACTGACTTCTGAAAACGATTTTTTTCTGTATTAAAACAATCCCTTAATTCTGGAAGGCTTGAGGGCTTCAGGCCAAGCCAAATAAAGTTAAGGGGAAAGAACCCCGAGTTCTCAAACAGCACAGATGGGATCAAGAGGTCACTGTGGAAACCCACTCTACTTATCTAACTCTTCTTGGCTTTCTAGACGTCACCTGTTGGAAAGGAGCCATTCCACGAGCTCCACCGAGAGTCTTGCTGTGTCCTTCCTGGCTCCACCCCTCCTTGGAGCTCAGCTGCCTCAGGGATGGGGATGATCACATCACTGACTTCTCCTAAACTTCCTGTGGACCCATACTTGGATGAAGAACCACATCTTCCCAGGTTGCTTCTGGGCTCCTGCTTTGTCAGCATTACACAAGCTACATCTTCTGTTTTGGTTTAATTCTTTGGTACATGGCCACCCAAGATGGTATGTTTAGAAAACCACATAAAGTGTTTTTGCAGTGATTCCCTTATTAGTTTTACAACTAATTGCAATTATCACAATTTATCCCCCAAATATAGATTTCAATTCAAAAGTAATTATTAATGAAAGTGAAAAATTTGCTGAGACCGGTTTGGCTCAGTGGGTAGAGCATAGGCCTGTGGAGTGAAGGGTCCCTGGTTCGATTCTGGTCAAGGGCATGTACCTTGGTTGCAGGCACATCCCCAGTAGGGGATGTGCAAGAGGCAGCTGATCAATGATTCTCTCTCATCGATGTTTCTAACTCGCGATCCCTCTCTCTTCCTCTCTGTAAAAAATCAATAAAATATAAAAAAAAAAAGAAAGTGAAAAATTTCCATAGATATATTGGCCATAAGTATTTTTTCCTTTGTGAGTTGTAGTGGTCACTTTTCTACAGAGGTCACTTTTCTATATTGGTCCCTGAAGAGTGCTATGTTTTAAGGTACTTTCTTACGATATTTAGTAAAGGTGTTTTGCTTAGGGTTATTGCTAGCAAGATTCTTCTGATCACTATATATTACCAAATCCAAGGTAAGTTTGTGTTTTTTTTTTAAACTACAAATAGCTAGGATAGTCAAATGACTTAGTACAACAGTTTTAACAGCTATGGCCATTAACCAAAGGAAAATAGAAAAATAATTTAATTTAATTTGAAAGATCACTGAATCATTTCCATGGGGGAAAAATTACAATAAAAAAGAGTTTAGCGTCACCCCAATATCCTGATATTCTGTTGTCCTGGGGGCAATGAGCTGGTGTCCATGCTGGGTAGTCCAAAGCTGACCAAGAACAGCTGATATTCATAAGAACCCATCTGGAGGCTTAGGAAGGACTGGCTGTTTGTTGAGGAAGATTCTGCAAGCTCTAGTTCTAAATCAACAAAACCCAGACCAAACTTCTTGGCTACTTTCCCTACTCAGAGTATCTTCAAAGTTTCTAAAGAGAAGAGTTATCAACACCACCATCCACCCATCGCATTGCTAATACCACTTGTTCCAAAATATCATCAGCAAATTTCCTTCAGAGTCTGGGTTAAGGAGACAATTATCTAACCTGATATACTTGGCCTTTAGTACCTGTTGCAAATTATATAACTCATTGATAATTACCTCCTTATCTTGGCTGCTAGGGAACTCATGATTGCTAGAATAATTTTTTCTTTTCCTTCTTTTAATACTTTGTTTTTACTTTTTATTGCATATTAACAGTTTTAGGTCTTGAGATATAGGTGATTTAAAAATAAGCTAAGGGAAATAAGCCAGTCAGAGAAATACAAGTATCACATGATCTCACTCATATGTGGAATTTAAAGAACAAAATAAACCCAGAGACACAGAAGCATGAAACAGACTGACGTATTTCAGAAGGAAGGTGGGGGTGAGTGAAAAGAGATAAACCAAAGAACTTATATGCATAACCCATGGACACAGACAATAGTATGGTGCAGGTCTGGGTTTAAGGGGGAGGGAGGTGGGGTAGAAGGGGTCAATGGAGGAAATAAAAGGGTCATCTGTAATACTTTCAACAATCAAGATAAATTAAAAATAAGTAAATAGAAACAAGTTACTTCAAATCCTTTTTTATAGTAGCTGAGGTTTAACTAGTGTTTATTTGTTATCATCAAACCAAAAATTGCCAAGTAAACAAAACAGTAATCAGTGTACTGCCTCCCTGAGGTTGGAGAGGGATCAGAATAAGCAGTAATTACTAATTCTGAATTTGCAACCCTCCCATGTGTTCCTAATTATATCAAAGGGGTGATATAGAAATTTCCCAAAAAGGGAAAACAAAAAATTTTAAGAGGGTTTCTAAATCAAGTAATTAAAGGGAATAAAAATCTCTTTCCCAAATCTTAAGGGAAAGAGAACATTGCAAGGCCAATTTGCTTGTTGTTTTCCATTCTGGTTTAGTGAGAAAAGGAAGCTGAAGAGGGAAATGATATCACCAAAGAAAAGACTAATCTAAGAAATGTAATCTCTGCTTTGTGTTTCATGAATCAGACAGACAAATCAATCCTATATAATAAAGGGCTAATATGCAAATTGATCAACTGGGGGGAAAACCACCAGTCACTATAATGCGCACTGACCACCAGGGGGCAGATGGGAGCACCACTCAGCCAGAAGCCACGCTCACAATTGGTAAGTGCAGTGGAGGTGGTGGGAGCCTCTCCTGCCTCCGTGGCAGTGCTAAGGATGACTGACTGCAGCTTAGGCCCCTTATGCCTGCTTCCCAAAGGTGAGCCACAGTCGAACATCCCTTGAGGTCTCCCAGACTTTGAGAGGGTGCAGGCCGGGCTGAGGGAGCCCCCCCCAAGTACACGAATTTCATGCACTGGGCCTCTAGCTAGTTCATAAAATAGCAGAATGTGATCAAAGGCAAGGGCTTCCTCATCATAAGTGAATTCCGGCAGGCTGCCATGCTTTGAACTCAATGAAGGGCAACCCTGAGGTACCATGTGCTTTTACAGACATGAGCTATATTTCCCATGCCCGGCTCAAAGAGCTGCCACGTTTGGCCCTACCTGCAGATGGTGGTGTGTGTTTCTAATCATCCTACAGTACTCACATCAGGGTCGGTCGGTGCCACTGAGTGGTCCGGTTGTTGTGGTTGACGTAGTAAGTCCGACCTAAATTGTCCACTTTTTCTTCCCAGCCAGGGGGCAGAGGAGGAGGAAGTTCCTCCTGGTGCTGAGAAGCCGAGTCATTCGAGTCCACGACTTCCCACCCGTGCTGTAGAGTAAGATCACAGGGAAGGTCATGAGGCTGGGTCTTTGGGTGAGGAAGACACTCACAGTGCCCATGTCCTTTTTCTGCTGCTCTCTGGCTCCTGCAGTGGCTTCATGTGCCACATCTGAAGAAATTCCCCAAAGGGGACAAAAATAAAACAAAACAAAAAAACCACTCCAATTCTATGAGAGTATTAAAACATTTTGAGCAACTAATTGTGGCCATCTTGCCTTAAGATGATTGCACTAGAAGGAGCCATAAGAGTTGGTAATGTACTGTCTGCTGTGTTTTTAAGTCACTTTCTACTCCTTCCACATTGAATATTCATTATGTTGACCCAGAAGCCTCCAAGGCTATACAAAACCAGAGCATTGACACGGGTCATGTTACAGCTGCCATCTTTTCAACACCTCCCAGAGGCAAAGGGGAGCTGGGAGATAAGCCGCACCGCGTGTGTTCTAACATGATTGCAGCACCAGTGACCAGGAGGGAGGCTGTCCCTGAGGTTGACTTTGGGGGGTGAAGCTCACATTCCCCATCCAGTACAATCCCAGGAGTCAGAGATGTCTGGATGCTGTGGCATTCTACTTACACCCCCTACTGACTGGGGCCACATAAACAGGCTCCATGGAATCAGTTAAATTTTTGCAACACATATTTTAGGCATTAAGTATTCCTTCCTAACATCCCTAGTAAAGTCACTGGAAAATGAAGTAATTCACAGGTTACTATGGTTGGAAGGTTAGAAGAGTGTAATTCCTTGGATTTGAGATAAGAATCTGTTGATGTGCTTGACATTCATGACTGTCTATCTCCCACTTCACTCCTCCTCACAGATGAAAGCTCACAGATGAAATACTGCCTGGAAATCTGACCTCTGGGTCCAAGGGAGGCTCAGCTGACTTGCCCTCATAAGTCACATATCACATATATGCAACAGCTGCAAACAGATGTGTAAAACAAGCCATTAAGAGGCCTTGTTTAGTGGACATTTTCAGGACAAGGGAAGACTCTAACAAAACAGCACTGTCAGAAGGATGTGCTGAGAAGGTACAATAGGACCCACGGATTAGATATGTGACTAGCAAGTTAAAAGGCAGCGAGGCCAGGAGGGAAAGAAAGAAAATTCCCCTGAAAGCTCATTCCAAAATGGCATTCCTAGAGGAAAGCTTGCCTGATGCACACTGTCACCTGTGGGACAAATGCGTGAGAGACCTGGGCAAGTTTTTCTAAATCACTTGATCCACTTTGAAGCAATTCCAATTGCTAAATGGAATTTACAAAGAGCTGAGAGTCCAAAGTAATAACAGAATTAAATATGTGAGGAGAATTCACATAGGGGTGGGTAATAAAATAGAGGTTAGCATTTTATAAAGAGAAATCTTTTCAATTATTAGTGTTTTAATGTAAGATGAAAAGTTCATTTTTTTTTTTTTTTTTTTACTAAAAACAAACACACTGGTAGATGATCAAAGACAGATTCACTGGCACTTTTAAGTTTTTTTCATATTTAAAAGCTTTATAAACCTTATTTCATTAAATAATAAAATCTTACGATGAAATAGTCATATGATCTTAGGAAAGAAAGAGAGACCAAGGCCTCATGCTCTTACCTCCATATCTTCCCTCTGCTCACTGTTTTCTTCATCCTGGCCTCCATTTTTTGGCATATAGGCCATTTTCAATCGCAAGAATCCCTTAACTCGAGATTTATGACTGTATGACAGAAGAACACTGGTTATAAAGGATATGGCTTGGTTATAGCTTTTAATTTATAATGACTTTTGAAAAAGGTAAAACAGGAAAAGTTGCTAAATCTTCCTCAGAGAAAACCAATAGCCAAGGCATAATGGACCCCTCCCTGCCTCCGAGGCCTCACCTTCTTGGTCTGAGGAGAAAGTCCTTAAATGTGTAGGGTCGCTCCATGGTTGGGTCTTCTGTCTGCAGGAAGAAAAAGTAAATTTTCAATACCTCTGAGATACTGTATTGTTAGGTACACCAGACTGGATTACAGAGAGTACATTTTCATTTTAGAATGTGGGAACAGCAATGACAGAGTTGGTTCCTCAACCAGTTACTTGGACAATTATTTAACATTTTATAGGTCCCAGACTTTAGTCACTCAAGATCCACTAGATGTCACTATCAACATCCGTTTTTAGGAGCCAACCTGGCCTTAGACAAATGACAAAATGATAGTGGTCAATGCCAAGCATAATTCCCAACTGCAGGGTGGAGGCCTCAATCTCACACACTGGTTAATGCCAGAGAACCAGTGGTCATACAAGAAACCTAAAGATGGAGTTAACAGGAAAGTATGCAAGATCTAATCTGTGAAGGCAATGATTTTACTTTAACATTAAAGTATCATGTATTAGCCTACACCAGTGGTCAGCAAACTGGTACCATAGTCTGGGCGAGTCTATTTTGAAGAAATAGCGTTAGAAGAAGTTTAAAAAATGTGGCTCTCAAAAGAAATTTCCATCGTTGTACTGTTGATATTTGGCTCTGTTGACTAATGAGTTTGCTGACCACAGGCCTAGACAAATGAAAGGTTATTTCCTCCACAGAGATTGTCCTAGGTGGCACCATCAATCTACCTTTTGCTGCTTTATTTCACGAACCTAGGAATGCAATTGTAACATTTATCCATTTTTCGAAGAAATCAAAAGATTGTGCTTAATCAAAGCAAGTAGTAAATTAGAAAAATAAATGTTACTATTTCATTAATAGTAAAATCTCAAAAACCTAGGCTCTTTAATGAAACATAATTTGAAATATTTACTTCTCTAACAAAAGAGACCATAATACCATGATTTAGTTTTGTATGAGAGGGGAGTGTGTATGCATTTATACTTGAAACAAGTGACCTGGTGCACAGATCTGTGCACAATGAAAGGAAATAAATTAGAAGGTGGCTGGTGGAGCAGGTCTGGCAGGGCAGGACTGGGCAAGAGGGGTGGCACATACCCTGGAGCCAACCTCCCACAGGTGCCTTCCCACCATGGCTCGAAGGGTGCACAGTGAGCCGGGTCCCTCTGGTAGGTGAGGTCCCTCAGCCTGGCCTGTGGGGACTAGGCTGAAACCAGCTCTCTGACATTCCCCAAGGGGTCCCGGAGTGCGAGAAGGCACTCTTGCAAAGTTGTCGTACAGGGTGTGGAACTCAAACCCAAGTGTGCAAAGATTCAGAGCCAACAGTGCCCCAGCAACAACATAGTCCACGGCCGAAGGTAGAATTGGATGGCCCCGCGAGGAATCAGGCTCCCTCCTCTCTGGTTTCAGGATGCGTCACCCAAGAACTGCTGCTGCCAAGTCACTGTAGCTCAGCAGCCCCTGCGTTTAGCATCTGCCCCCTGGTGGTCAGTGTGCATCATAGCTACCAGTCAGACGGACACTTAGCATATTAGCCATATATATATTAGCCATATATATATATATATATGCATGTTATCTATTTGTCATTTCCTGCTTTAAATTGCCAATGGTTTCTTCCTTTGCTTATAATAAACTGAAAATTATTTCTATGCCTTCAAGGTCAAACAGGGTCTGGCTGGCAATTACCTGTAACCTCACTGTGAACCATTTGACTTATCCTCTCTTGGCTGCTATTTCAATCACTTTGTGTTGCCCAAGAGCCAGAGGAAGGGCGGAACAATATGGAAAAGCAAAGCTGGAATACGAGGTGACCTACTGCTCACCAAGGTCTCAGGGTCTTGTCCCCACAGTCTGTCTATATCGTCTCAGTTATTTATCAATAGATCTAAATGTTTTGCTGCTCATCCGAGCAGAGGGAAATGGTAGCCACACCACACATGCTAACTCCTATTTCTAAAGCTGAGTAACAAGTTCATTCAGAAGCAACAGCATCTTTTGTCTACGCTGACTGAAAAAGCCATATAGCAAATTCTGGGCACCATCAGCTTGTAGAGATGTAGGCCACAGAAATAGCATGTGCAGTTCCTGAAGGGAACACATGTTTAATTAGATACAGAGGATGAATTTGAAAGCAAAAACACCTCAGTGACTAGGAGGGGTCTAACAGAGGAAGGGAGCTGTTTTAAATGAATTGACAAAGGAAGATGAAAGGGCAGAAGAGCAAGAAGCAGGTGACACTGACTAGCATACTCTGTGATTCAGATACACTTGATTCTTTCTTATCACCATGAAAAGACCACTTTCTGGAGAAAAAAAAAAAAACTAGGGCTCTTTACTTCAGCCTTCTCCACTGTGTTGAGGAAATATTACTCTGAAAGTATATCCAGCTGCAAACAATGAGAAGTCACTGCTCACAAAAGGCAATAGTAACCATCCTCACCGGGAGATGATTAAGGGGCACGTCAACCTGTCCCAGGAAGTCGTCTCGTGTCTGTTGAGAAGAGAGCAGAGAGTTAATGTTCCCATCGATTTCAGAGTGTCAGCATTCTTAAACATTTATTTACAGACAGAGACGAAGGTTCAGGGCCTGACATTATGGTGTCATGGGGATGGGTCAAGGCAGGTGGCCCAGATGAGGCACAGACAGCTGTCATCTGGGAGACAGGAGAGCCCCGGCCCCATACACCTGACCTGTAGATGCCCGAGACTTTATGGGATGTCCAGTACCCAAGTTCAGCAAACTGTGCTCTCAATCCAGTATCTTATTAGTGGACTGCTTTGCTTTCCTGCCTGGTATTGAGATATGGGACTGAAGATTACTAGGTTAAGAGCCTGAACTCAAACCAGCCTACCCAGATAGGAGCCTGGAATAGGACAGGTCTTCCTGATCACCCGGCTCCCCACCAATGAAGCAGGTCTATTAATAGTGCCTATATTCTCTGGTTGCTGTGAGGACAAGGTGTGGTCTTGGCACAGGGCCTGCTTCGCTGTTGTGGTGCGACATGGCAGGTGCCTCTTCTGGTGTCTGAATAAAGCTGAGACATTTGATCAGTTTAGAATGGTGATAGGTCATCTGTTGGACCTGAGGAGCATGATTGTCAAGAAAGTGTCACTCAGGTTGACCGAGACTTAGGGGTCATAGCTCGACCAATTTAAAGAGAAGACAGTAAAGACAGGTTGGGAATATTTTAACAAATACAGGGTGTGGCAAAAGGAGGTTGATAATTGTTCATCTGAAAAATTATAAAATAGCTTAATAAATAATAATGCAAGCATAAACTGTCTCACATACTTTAAGCCTACTTTTGCCCATCTGGAATTTATTAATCAAGTGCTATAAACTAAAGAGCTCCCTGAGAGCTGAGAGTCTAGGGCAAGAGTGCACAGCCTAGTTATTAATAAATCGTATACATTATTTATCATAAAAAATGGCCTCAAACTTTCAATCTAGTAAGTACACTGCTTCAGAATACAAGTTCATGGATTAGTTAATGGTTAAATTGTGGACCCATCATGCTTCTTCCCCTCTCCATCTACTACACAGCACAGATCTTTCTGACTTAAAATAGATTTAGATGAAATACACTCGGAGAAATCCTCACAGGTGCCTCTTCAGGCTCTGGGATATACCTGGGAAGACATAACTCAGTACAGGGGTCATGACCTGGCCCATGGGGTGTCTGACCAGTTGTTTGCACTATGTCCTGCTGTTAGAGAGCATGTGTCATAGCTGCTGCCCTGGCCCTAGGCACAAACCAGACACAAGGACTTCTATGACCCTCCTATAAAAACAGGCAGTAGCACTTACCACATTCAGAAATGCCTAAAACCTGGCAAGCCTTGTCCCACAGCCACCTTGAGGCCAGACCTCTCACTCTGGACTTAGGATTTCCTTTTAGGTAATTTTAAAAATGTAATTAACTAGAAAGCTATCTGTCTCCTCTAAACAATGCATGAAGAATAATAGAAAATCAAAGTTACTGCTGGTTGGGTGTGCAGGAAGCATGAGATTAGCCCAATCTTGTGACGAGATTCCCATTTGTTTTCTTAGGTACATTTGCTACGGGTTGCCAATAAATGCTATATACCTTTTTAAAAAATATATATTTTTATTGATTTTAGAGAGGACGGAAAAGGGAGATAAAAAAAATCAATGATAAGAGAGAATCACTGATTACCTGACTCTCCTGCATGCCCCCTTCTGGGGATTGATCCTGCAACCTGGGTATGTGCCCTAATGGGGAATCAAACCATGTCCTCCTGGTTCAAAGGTTGATGCTCAACCACTAAACCACAATGGCTGGCAATGCTGTAGATCTTAACAAAAGAAGCAGCCTGCAAAAGGCTCACAAAAGGAAGGCAGCTTCCTTTTTTGCTGTCCAAAGAGTTAGGAATCATTCCAGGTCCAATTTGGCTAGTTTACTTATAATTACAAAACTAGTGTAATTATCAGTTAACTCTGCAATAAAAAATGAAAACAAGTAGTGTGTTGACTACTGACCATAAATTGCCGGTCTACCTAATTACTACTTGTCCCCTCTCCTCCTGCTACTGCTGTTGATGCTGGGAAAGAAACACAGACGGATGCAACTGCCAAAAGGAGATTACCCCACTCAGAGCTCTGGTCATAACCTGATACCATTCAAAGCCATTCATCCATCGTTAACCTCAGTGCACTGCAACAAAAATCCACATAACAGCTGCACGCCCATGCTGTTTTTCTGGGGAGATGTTAAGAATTCTAAACTGATCAAAAGGCTCAGCTTTGTTCAAGCAACAGAAGAGGCACCTGCCATGTTGGGCCACAACAGCGAAGGAGCATCTAACTGGGATGGTGGCTCTCCACAGTTTGTTGAGACTTGGGTGGGGAGTCCTGTGAAAATGCCATTTGCTATGTTATTGTTAACACCACCTCTGGTTTGGACTCTACTTCTTCCCTCCAATGAAACAGTTTTGCTGAATCCCCGAGGCCTGAGGCAAACCTCATGTGTACCTTAACGAGTCTTCCCATTGCATTGAAAAACAATTTATAAAACTGCCAAAGATGGAGCAATCTCAGGATTAATGTACACACAAGGTCCACCTTATTTCTGGTGGACATCAAGGATGACTAAAATAAAAGAACTTTTCAAATAAAATAGGGATCAAGTATGGAACAGCACATGTTCCAAAGGAATGGGCTTAAATAAGGGTTTCATCTGTCAGTGGAATGTGCTGGTGAGACCTGCTTTCAAAACATCCCACTATTGCTCAAACCTAAAAAATTGTAGGTAATGTAAACCACTTAGGTTAATGGCACTATACCAATTTTCAAACATGTCTTCAATACCGCAGGAGAGCTTAGTAGGGGTTCAGAGGGCTGACTAGTGACTTTTTTGCGAGATGAGAAGTAGGCATTTCTCAAGGACACCTGGGTGTGACAGTAACAAGGTAGAAACAACTTGCAGAAGGGGGGATCCCCACCTGCAGGCCCTGCAGAGACATTTGAGGCCATCACCATCTCCTCAGGTCATCATGCCACAGAATGACATCTTACACCCATATCATCAAAAACATGTTACAGCAAATTACTAAAATTTTTAGTAATGTTTTTCCAAAGTCATTATTACACAAACAGAGCCCCTGAAACCTGTCATAGAAGGTAAAAAACAAACAAACAAACAAAACAACAACAACAAAAAAACAAACTGCCCTGTAGGAAAAGTAAAATTAATATATCAACACTTTCTTTTAGCACTTGCTCTTTAAACGATGATTAACTATATTCAGGACCACCCTTCCCCGCATTTAGTAATTTCCACTACAAAATTATTTTCATCAAGCTTCATGTTAACTACAAGTGATTACAAAACCCCAATTAGTTTAACTCATACCGTGAATACTGGCATTTATTGAACTTATTTTTAAGTGGAAAAAGCTATCAATTTCAACCTCAATTACCTGTCACACTATTCTAGAGGCTGAAAATGTATGGGTTAGTACCAATTATAAATGTTCCCTTCTAACAAGCCATCAAATGTTTTTCCAAAGTCATTATAACACAAACAGAGCCCCCGAAACCTGTCATAGAAGGTAAAAAACAAACAAACAAAAAAACAACAACAAAAAAAACACCAAACTGCCCTGTAGGAAAAGTAAAATTAATATATCAACACTTTCTTTTAGCACTTGCTCTTTAAACGATGATTAACTATATTCAGGACCACCCCTCCCCGCATTTATTTACTTATTTGTTTGTTTATTTATTTAGAAAAGCAAACAATAATTTATTGACCATAGCAAAAACAGTGTAACAAGGAAGGCCATAGAAGAAGCAACAGGGGAGCCTAGGCCGGGCTGCTTTGGCTCACTGGGAAGGCAGAGAAAAGGGGCCTTGGATACAGGTTCGGGGGTTAGCCTGGGACAAGCTGTTGCTGCCCTTTGGTCCCCTGGTTGGAAGACTCACGGGGTCCCTTAGAGGATACGGGTTGAGGTGTGAATAGGAGGGGGCAAGGGAATGGCACAGTTGTGTTTCCTGAAGAGAAAGTGTGCCCTGCTTTTAAGTAACTATTTCTTTTTAAATAACAAGGGGTTTGATGTCAATGCCACTGGAACCCAATGCTGGGACTATTCTGGCAGTGCCAGTGAACCCTATTATGGTGCTGGGGCATTTCCTCAGGCTTCCTGCGTGTACAATGGGCCAGAGCTGCCAGTACCGAGGGCACTCCAGGCTCAGTTGTCTTCACAAACGAATGAGACTCAAACTCACAAAGAACACATTAAAAAAACAGCAAAGTCTTTCTTTAGGTCAGAACTGCACTTGAAGGAAGTGATCTGAATCTCACTGCACACTAATGACGACAGAAGTCATGGGTAAATGAGGCGAGGGCCATGCAAGGAGGCTGAGAAAGAGTGCCCAGGACCACATGGGAAGAAAGGCACTGGAAGCGGAGAGGGTGCTCACAGGGCAAGCAGGGACCAGAAAGGCTCATTGGGAAGGTGCATCAGAGAGCTGGCACTTCCTGCAAGGTACAGTGATTACACGAAATAGTGGAGTTGTATATTAAGGTAGAGTTTCAACTGTGAGTAGTTCACAAGAAGTTTTTTTTTTTAAAAAAAAATTAAAAATGGAAGAGAAAATATTAGTATCTCACATGAAATATTGAGCAAGTACTATTTTGAGAAATTTCAGTTTCATGTAGGTATGCATGTGTGTGTGCTAAGTTCTGACCTAAAATTAATTTTTCTTTGTGTGACATCATCAAAAGTTTAAAAGCCACTCAACTTTCAACAGATGAAAACCAGCTAATATTACCAATGTCTGGGGTTTATCCTAGCAATCATTAAGTAGTGGCTTTTAAGAAAATTATATTGAGAATTTCTCAAGACAAATGGGACAGAAGTCTGGAGGAATTAGAACATAAGCTACAGAGAAGGAATTAAAGAGGAAAGCGATAGTATAGTATAGTATGATTTGATGTTTGGATCTTACATATCGAGGGAAATGACCAC